TCCATTGGGGCTGGGAGAAGCTCCCCGACCACCTGCCCGCCTGGAAGGGCTCACGTCAAAGCCAGGTCTCCCCCAGCCCTGGCATCTCCCGTGGTTTGGACGTCAGCAGACACAGGTCCACCATCTGCTCCACCAGCGTGTCGTGGAGGAGCACCAGTGGAGGGGAGCCTGCCAGAGCCTCCCTGGGGTGGCAGCAGCCCCAGGAACCCACAGGGATGCCAAGGTTGTGATCGAAGGTGGCTCGAAGGTCTCCCAGGTGGCCCACAAAGTCACTTCGGACGGGGCAGAAGCGCTGCATGACCGCAGGTCTCCAGCCAAAAATGCTTTCGGATTGGAGTGACAGGACCACACGTCTCCAGCCAAAAATGCTTTCAGGCCGGAGTGATTTTTACCTGTGCTTTTGTGCTTTTTTTTTTTTCACGCTTTATTTCTTCAGAACGCCTCCGTCCCACTGCCTTTCTCCTGTGGCAGCAGGGACACGGGTGCCTCCAGGACACGGCCTTCCTCCACCACCAACACACCTCGAAGGGGAAGCAGCCTCCCGAACCACCAGCAAACCCCACCTCGACTGCAAATATTCTGGAGGAAAGCTTGCTAAACATCCTGGAGGCAGGACACCGGGCACCCCGGCCCTTTTGGGGCCAAGAAATGGAGGCAGGGCAGGGCGCAGGGAGCCCAGATGGGGGAAATTGGCCACGGAGAGGCTTAAGGAAAAGAAATGAGAGCTGGGAGGGGAGACAAAACCACTGGTCCCCACTGGGGAAACTTGTTTCCAGTCACGGTCCGGTGCCAGCCACTGCAGGGGAATTTTTCTGTAGGGCAGGGAATAGCCACGTTGTGCTGAGGACAAAGAAGCCAGCCATGGGGAAGCTGGGTGGTGTTTGTTGTCATTTATTAACCACAAACTGACTCCTGCAGGGCCTTCAGTCACGGGTTTAGGTGGTATTTTAGCTCCCACTCATCCTCCCTCAGCCAAATCCCTCTCTGTGGGCCTCAGGGCGGACACAGGGAGGCTCGGTGAGGTGACATGGCGCCCAGGCCCGGCCCCATGGCCCTGACAGGAGCTCCTTTCACCAGGACCTCTTGCTTCTCCTCCTGCCAAAGCCGAGCAACCCCCAACTCATGTCTAGAGAGCTTGAGTAGGATGGGGATGAAGCAGCTGGACAAGGATGGAGTGGGTGGGCCAGGCACCATAAATAACGGGCAATTTGTACCTAGTGATGATTTTGCCCTAATCTTCTCCTTTGTGAGGCCAAAAAAGCCTTCCGCACTGAGCCGGGGGGCTGGACCGAATCCCCAAATCCCAACATGGACAGAAACAGCACGTTAGTGACCTTAGGTAGTGGAGAGCTAGCAATTTATTTTGCTCCCATTAATTTTTACCAGGCCTGGCCTGCTGCTTTGGGACTGAGAACAGGCCTGGGCAGCCTTTAGGAGGCTTGTTTCCTTTGTGTTGGATAACCACTCGAGGCTGGGTGCTTAAATAAGCTTCTCAGGTCTCCAAATTAGCTGGGAAAGCTGACAAAACCCCATTTTCTCCAGGCAGATTGACTACTGCATGGCGGAGACCTTGTCACCATTGCCTCTCCTGGGCTGTCGTGGTTGCTCAGCCGAGGCGTGAAGGACAGCATTGCTTGCCTGCACACTTCTTTTCAGCCCCTAAGCTTAAGATGAGGATCTTGGCCAGCTTTTATGTGATTCGAGCATCCTGTGAGAGGATCAGGCTCTCCTTCCCCTACCAGAGATGTGCGTTTTTTGAAGGGCTGGTGAACAAAAAACCCCGCCGGTCTTTTCTTCCATGAGCTGCAGGGAGGAAGGTGGCCGTTTGATGTGCGTTTCTTCTGGCCTGCGAGCAGTTACGATGAGCAGGCACGGGATGGGGGTGCCATATGGCCAGGACAAGCTTTTGTGGAGCACCACGTGCTCCCCCCATGCGGCTCAGGCCTGACCTACATATACATAGCGTGGCCAAGCCACCACGCCTGGAGCATCACGGCTTTCATCTCCCACAGCTGGAGATGCAGGAGCCTCCTCTGATTTACAGGAAAACCCAAACTACGCACTGAGCTGGGGCTTGCCAGCACTGCCGAAGGTTTTTCTGCTCTGTCTTGATCCAGCACAGCCCTCTCAGGAAGAGACAGCTTACACCAGCAGGGCTGCTTCGGGCAGGAGAGGAAACCTTCTCTCTGGATGACAGGCACCAGAGTCTTTTGGCTTGTTCACGTTGCCTCCAGCTGAGCGGGCAGATGTTGGCATGGTTGGAGATGGAAAACGTCCCCCTTGTAACAAATGGCATCCACCCAGCTCTGCAGTGACCCCCCACCGGTCCTCGGCGGTGGCTTGGAGCAGGCCCTCTCCCATCCACGCCTCTGTGTGGGTATGGGGGAGCCTCGCACGGCCTCAATTTATTCACCTGAAGGAGAAGGAACAAGTCCTTGCAGCGGGGCAGGTGATCTTGCAGGTGCAGACAGGGCTTTCGACGGTCTCTAGTAGTGCAAATAAACACTGGGCGTTCACAGGACATTGTTTGCCTGGGAATCCAGCCCAAGGGCTTTGGCCCAGGTTGAGCAGATTGCAGTAGTGGTGATTGTATCATTTTTTTATTTTTTTTTTACCATTAAGGCTGCACTTTCTGGCATGGCACAGCCTTATTCACCTGCCAGTAACACTCTGCCCGCTCGGCTCCAATTCCTGTGGTCCCTGCAAGACACCCACAAAAATCGGATGAAGCAGCATCTCTCCAGAAACAAAGGGACGTCCTTGGATGCTCAATGCCCATGCAATAAATAGAGGGGAAGAGCTGCAAAGAAAGGCCACAGATTCAAGGAAGGCTTTCACCGAGGCACATCGAGGTGTCCACCAAGCTGCAGCCCGGCTGTAACTCACCCTGAGGACTGGAGTTACTGCACTGAGATCTTCTTCCAGAGTGCAACCTGTTGGACATCAGCCTCTTACAAGTGCAGTCGGGTGCCAGCTGAGGTGGGAAGCTGGATTTAAGCTGCAGTGATGCTGCTTGGAAAGCTCGGGAGGTCTCCAGCCCAGCCCCACAGCCGCAGCAGGGCTGTCATCATCCCTATACCCATTTGACCTTGACTTTGTCCACCAAGGCTTGAAGACACGAGCTGAAAGTGTGTGCCAGAGCCTGGAGACCTTCATTTTCTGCTTCTCAAGGGTTTGAAAATTTGGAAATGAGTCTGATGGAGGAGACTCATCTTCCCATTTCTGCCTTGCCACGTGCCCGAGCACATCAATGCTCTCTGCTGAGCCCAGGGGAAAAATCCTGGGTCAGTGACGTTCCTCCAGACCTCACTGCTGACGTTTTGCTCCCACTCTGGTCAGCAGAAAACCCTCAGCCACTTCTGCAGCTGGGGACCTCGGAGTGCTTTGAGATCTTGAAATTACTCCAGAGGGAGTGAGGTCACCCCGCCGGGGGAGCTGCTCCGAGCACGCTGCTTGTGCGAGAAAAAGGAAAGCGAAAACAAAGGATCCGGGGAACAAAGCCTTGGGGTGGTAGTGGAGTTTGTTTTTCTTTGCCTCGAGAGGAAGAAGGCATTGAAAAGAAAGGGGGGGAGCAGAAGTTTTCTTTCTGAAAAGTGATTTTTATTGTTTTCAAGGGAAGGAGGGAGAGTGTTGGAAAAGGAAAGGAAAGGAAAGGAAAGGAAAGGAAAGGAAAGGAAAGGAAAGGAAAGGAAAGGAAAGGAAAGGAAAGGAAAGGAAAAGGAAGGAAATGAAAGGAAAGGAAAAGGAAAGGAAAGGAAAAGGAAAGGAAGGAAAGGAAAGGATAAGGAAAGGAAAGGAAAAAAAAGGAAGAAGGAAAAGGAAAGGGAAAAAGGAAAGGAAAGAAAGGAAAGGAAAGGAAAGGAAAGGAGGAAAGGAAAGGAAAGGAAAGGAAAGGAAAGGAAAGGAAAAAGGGACAGAATTTACACAGAAATAATTCTCAAACAGGAGAATTTTTCTGCAGAAGAGAAAAAAAACTGCTAGGGATCCTCAGGGCTGCCTGTACTCTGTCCCTACATCTCTTTCCGAGGTGCACGCCGTGCATCCTGCTGCTGGGAGCCTCCTCTAGCACTGCCTGAAGGAGTCTACACTTCTTGGGAATCCTTGGGAGTCAAAGGGTGAAATAAAGAGCTCGAGCCTCTGCAGGGATCTGGTTCAGCCTAATTTGCTCCCCCATAGGCCTGCAGGGAGCTCGTGGGAATCGCGTGCCCCAAATGGGCTGAAAGCAGGCAGAATCCGCCAAAATCAGTGAGCGGTGGGCACTGGGAGTGCTTCATGCCCCCTGCCACAGGGCTGCCCCTTCCATTGCCTCTGTGGGATGTGCAATGGGCTGCAGGGATCACATCCCAGCATAAAGCTTTTCTAATTATTATTATTTTTAATTTGTGCGTGATTTTATCAGAGAGTTTGGGGACAAAACGCAGCCTCTCTGGGTGCCAGACTCTGCCTCCCTCGTGCGTTTCGGTGAGATTTAAAACCTGAATTAACCCAAATCTCAAAAGCTGAGGCTGTTTCAACGCTCCCAGGCTGGAACCTCTCCCTGCGGTGGTCTCATTTCATCCACGCAGCAGGAAAGCATCAGCCCCAGGACAAGAAAGCCTCTGAAATCAGTCGGCAGAGCCAGCGGGCACCCCTCCAGAGCTCCCAGCAGCCGACAGAACTGGGACCAGCGCCCTAAATGGTGCAGCTCATCCCTATTTGCACCCCAGGCACCTTTCCGTGGGAGATGCTGAGGTGCTGGGAGAGCTGCGGGTCCCTCCCTCAGTGCCAGCCTCTCGCTGCAAAGACGGAAAGAAAGGAGTTAAGGCACGGCACGGGCTGCCGGAGGCCAATCAGGCAGAGCAAAGTGCGGCCGGGGTTGTTTACACCAGGTAGGATTTGGGAGTTTTGCCCGGGGCCCCGAGCAGGTGGATGATGGGCAGGGAGCCCGCAGCAGGACGGGGAGCGCAGGAGGACGGAGCCCCAGGCTCTCCAGGTAACCCCCAAAGGGTTTGGGGGGATTTTTGGGGGGCTTCTTTCCTTCTCTGTCCCCCTCTTGCAGCAGCTTGGGGTCTTTTGGGGCACTGGGACTGGCTGCAGGTGCTTTGTCCCCGAGCTGTGTTGGTGTGGGGTGGGAAATGGGGTTATTTTCTCCCCCTATAAACACCTCCCGGATCCAGCTGGCATCCACCAGCACCAGCACCTCTCTCCCCGTAATTTAAAGGATACTAGCAGCCCCAAATCCCAAAGATTTGAGGTACGAGCAGGAAGCACAGCGGGGAGACAGGGGCACGTCCTGCGGGCAGGAATTGCTCCGCGCCCTTGAAATTCCTGCGGGTGAGTTAATTATAAATCACGGCGTGGGCAATGGGATCCAGGTGGCACGGGGCTGGTTCGCAGCCTTTCCTCGTGGTCCTTTTCCCCCCTAAATCATACTGAGGACACCACAAGGAGGCCAGCCGAGGGGTGGTGGTGGCACGGGGATGCTTGGGGAGATGCAGGGGGTGTCCCATTGGGGACAGCCACCCCATACCCGCTGTCGGATCTCTTTTCCCTATAGATTTGGCTGTGCCCTAGGGGCAGAGTAAAGCCTCTGGGTGCAAATGGGGCCAGCACAAGCAGCCCCGAGACAGCCCCGGGAGGAAAACTGATAGCGAGGGGGAAGGTGGAGCAGGCTGCACTGCTCGGGCTTTGTCGGGGCAGAACAATGGGGCCTTTATTGAGGAAGGGAGGTGGTGGGGTTGGCATGCGGTGGTGACTGGTTGGTGTACGGGGTGCCTTGGGCAGCTGGGGGACAGGGAACTGGGATGTGGGACATGGGGTGGGACATTTTGGCACCAAAAGTGTCCCTTGGGTAGGTTTGGCTGCAGGGAACTGGGACATGGGACAAGGGATGGGACATTTTGGTACCCAAAGTGTCCCTTGGGCAGGGAACAGGGACACGGGATGGGACATTTGGGCACCTAACATGTCCCTTGAGCAGCTGGGGGACAGAGAACAGGTACAGGGAGTAGGACAGGGGACAGGACGCTTGGTACCCACCGTGTCCTCGCTGGTGGGACCTGTGGGGACATCCCGGGGGAGCGCTGCCACCCGCTCTGCCCCTCAGGTCCAGATGGGGATTTTGGAAGCCCCCACCCCGCCTGGGTCTTTTCATCTGGGCTCCTTTGTAGCAGGCTTATTATGTAAGGAGCTGATGAGGCCCCCCGTAATGAGAAAGTAGTTTCCCAGAATACAAAAGGCCTGTAATTATCTCATTAGCAGGCGGAAAAGGGAAAGGAAATGCTTCTGAGCCGCTCGCTTTTATTTCCAGGGGGACTCCAGAAAGCTCAGCCCCCAAACACGGTGACCTGCCTGCCCCGACCCCGTGTCTGGGCAGGACGGGAAGGCAAAGCAGGGCCTCACAGCTCCTAAATTGCCCATCCCGGGGGGGGCTGAGGGCTTTAAATTGGGGCCGGGAGCTCAGGGGATGCTGCGGGTCCCTGCGCAGACCCCTGGTGCTCCCAGCTGCCAGGATGAAGGTGATGCCACCTTCCCTTCTCCCGAACCCAAAGGAATCCCAAACCAAATCCTATCCACGCCTCGAGTGGGGGAAAAGGGAGCTCGGCATCCTCGGGAAGGTGTTTTCATGGCGTTGTCTGGCCTCTGGGCATGGAAAAAGCTTCTGCAAGCAGGTTTGAGTCCAGCAGGATCCTGTTCTCCTGCGGTGCTGGAAGAAAAACTGGCGGCCACCAAGGCAACGTGAGAAGGGCGAGGGAGAAAAAGGGGTGCAGAGATTGTAGGGGAGCAGAGGTGTCCCTGCCGCCTGCAGCCACGCTTCTGGAGGTGCCCTCGGCCAGTTTGGTGTCGGGGAGTGGGCCCAGCCCGTGGCAGGGGGGGAATTCGGTGGGTTTTGAGGTCCCTTCCAACCCAAAGCACCCCGTTTCTGTGCATTGATCCCCCCCCCTGGCGTGGCACGGTGCCTAGGTATGTGTCCCGAAGGCCTTTTTGTGACCAGAGCGTTAACAATTAACCCGCCGGGGCAGGAACAGGAGCCAGGCCTTCATAACCTGAGGCTGAGTTAACCATTCAGCTGCTTATCCACAGGCAAATTTTTCCTCTGGGTGGCAATTTTTTCCTACCGGGAGGCGTTCGCTGGCTCCCTTGGATAAAGCCAAGCGTGCCGGTGCGGGAGCTGCTCCCCGGATGGCTGTATTTATGGAAAAAGTCCCCAAAAAGCCACGAAAAAACTTGGTAAGAGGCAGCCACGGAGGGTTCACCCACTGCAGGCAAGGAAAAGGAAATCTCTCCCAAAATTTCCTGCGTTAAAGGGTGGCACGAGGAGGTGGTGCGAGGTGGAGAAGGTTGGGGAGCTGCTTGCCCCCCTCCAGGCACGTGCTTTTCGCGCAGATGCCTACCAGGAAGGCTGCTCTGCCTCCAGCCAGGTGGAGCCCCAAAGAAAACCAACCCTTTTTCAGCTTTTGTGAGCACACAAATGCTCGGAAATGGGAAATGAGATCAGCGTTTGTGCTGGAAGGGTTCCCTTCCACCTCCTTTGTGCCTGCAGAAAGTTCCCTTGCTTCGGTTCAGCTTTGGGGAGCAGGGGGAAGGGCAGAGCTGGGCGAGGGCACGAGTGGCCCTGGTGCCTCCAACGCCTGCTGCAGGTGGGATGTGACACTGGGAAGGATAAAACACCTGCAAAGGGCAGAGGATGGCGGCGTGCTTCCAAATCCAGAGCTCCCTTTGGCTTTCTGTCCGTCTGGGGCCTCTCCACAACTTCCACTTCTCGCCTCGGGGGTCTCTTCCATTCCCAGCCGCGCTCGGCACCTAAAAAAGGGGGTTAAGGGGTGAAATGCTGGAAAAACCAAACCACTTTGCCTCCCTGCTCCGTGCCGAGGAGATCTGGGGCGCACGGAGCTAACCGGGTTAAGGGAACTCGGTTTCTGTTTCTCCCCAGGGGGCAGGTGAAAGTCAAACCTCTTTGCAAAGGAAAAAGTAACAAAAAAAAAAAAAAAAAACAGCTCAGGAGGCCACAGGAGACGGGCTCCAGCCCTGCCAAAAAGCAGATGCTGATGCTCCAGGTTTAATTTGCTCATGCAGCCTCAGAAGAGCTGCGTCCCCAGCCCAAACTGCGGTGTTACAGGTGCAGGGATATAAGGGAAAATATAAGGACAGGGAGAACACCCCTGAGTGCCCAAAGGAGGAGAAATTGGGCACGGGGCCACCAGGAGACATGGATGGGTCTTGGGTTCCTCATCCAGAAGCCTTGTTGGTATTCCTCACCTCAGCCTCGCTCAAAACCCCATTTTGCAGCTCACCTAAAGGATGAGGAGGGCAAAAACTGGCTAAGAACTGAGGCTGGCCAAAAGAAACTAAAGTGGGAGTTGCTGTTGCCCCCCCCAAAAAAAATACCACATCCCTTTTTGGCAAACGGAGCTGTGCTGCCAGGGATCTGTTGGCACTTCTGGAATCTCCTTGAAAACATATTTGAAATGCCTGTCCTTATGCTCAGCTTATCAGATCCTGGGTTTACAGTAAACACGAGCTAATAGCCAACGTTTTCAGACTATTTTCTTGGATGGTTTCCAGCTAAAAGGGGAAAGAAAAAAAAAATACATGCCAAAAATAAAAGGGTCCATTTTCAGATTTTATCCCTGTGGCACAGCTTGGATCCTGCATCGTGAGACCAGCCCTGGGATGCTCGGGCCAGATTTGGGACGGGGCAGAGCTCTGCAAGATCAGGGCACTGGAAAAGGGGAGATTTTTTTAAAAAATCCCTGTTTTAACCTTTTTTTTTAAAAGAAAAACCTCATGAGATAACACATCGGAGGGGAAGAGGGAAGGGAAATCCCTAGGACACCTTCACCTCCTGCATGATCCCCACGCTCTGCTCCGGCTCAGCTCAACGCCGAGCAGCATTCCCCACAACTTTTTGTCTTATGGGATCATCCCACCTCTGCTGTTTTGGGAAAACCTATTGGGTTTTGTTGTATTTTTTCTGTAACTTTCAGAATGGATTTCAAGAAGGGGCCTGATTTGTGTAGGAAGTGATGAATTGTACCTTGCCTCTGCACCAGTAGCTGTGGACCTTGACCATGGCCGTTGTTAATGAGTTCAGCCCGCTGTTAATGAGTTCAGCCCCAGTGCAACCACCGGTACTCGGGGAATTTCCCCCAAACACAGATGTTTCAGGGGTTCACCGCGCTTGGTCCCCTATAAAGCCAGGACTGAAGTCACAGGACTGGAGTTTGAGGCCGCGATGGAGCTGGGGAGAGCCCCCAGTCACGTGAGGACTGGTCCCTGTGGAAGAGGAAAGGAAATCTGTGGTTAGGACCAGGTGAAAACCAGGCATTATAACCACTGCCTGCACGTTCCCCACTTCCCACGTTCTACTTTTGGCCAGTGCAAGGCACAGCCTAGTTAGAATAAAAGAATAAAACGCAGTAGGGGAATAAATCTTTGAAAGAAAGCTTAGAATGGCACCTGGAGGAGAATATTTTGTTTAAAAGGGAGCTGTGCAGCTCCACGGGGTGGAGAGAAATGGCAAATGTGTGGCACCTTTCACACCTTTACTAGCTCTTTACTTCTTTTTTTTTCCCCCAGTGCCACTGACCTGTGCCTCCGCCTCGCCGCTGCGCTGCCATGGCCACGCTAGAAGCGCTGCCCGTCCTCAGTGACCCGACGCACCCCAGCCCAGAGAATTTGCACAGTTTCTCTCCCCGGCCGTCCCAGCCCTTCTCACGAAGCACCATGGGCAGCGTGGGCAGCGGGGTGGCCAACGAGCAGGAGTTTGCCATGAAGAGCGTGGGGACCCGCACGCAGAGCAGCGGGCGGCCGGCGGAAAGCTCCCGCAACGGGTACCCCGGCCGGGAGCTCTCCAACCGCTACTCGGGCGAGGAGAAGGCGTACAAGTCGGAGAAGGTCTCCAATGCCCTCTACATCAACGGCGACCTGCGTAAGAGCGAGAAGGTGAAGGTGGACATCTGCGGGAACGTGGCCGCCAACAACGAGAAGAACTTGCCGCCTCCTCCCCAGTACCGAGAGCCCGGCAACCCACCAAAGATATTGCCAATCTCCGGCAAGCTGGAGCAGGTGAGAAGCTCCCCCCGGAGCAGCCGGGTGGACCTGGCACGTCTCGAAAAGCGTTGGTGAGGAAGGTCGGGCTGTGGTGTCAGCCTGACACCCTGCAAGTCTCACCGTGCGGATATTTTAATGGTTATTGGCAGATAATATCATGGTTTCTTTCGTGGGGGACGGTAGCTCTTGAGGAAGGCAAGAGCATGGTGATGAGTCTTTCATGCTTCCAGCTCGTCTAAGTCTTTCAAAGCGATGCTTCCAGTTCATCTAAGGCTGCGTTGAAGTCATCCAACCTCCCCAAAATGCTGTGCCTACCTCTCCTGTTGGCAGAGAGAGAGCTGGAATTGGCTCTGGTTTTGGTAGGCCCAGCATCAAGTCACGCTTTTATGTTTTGGGCCATATATGGACAAAACATAAATGTTTTTGTCCATAAAAAAAACATTTTTATGTTTTTATGTTACAGCCCACTGCCACAAAAAGGTGTCACTCGAGAGAATTTTCAAGCCCCAACTCCCCCTGGTGAGGGACGATCTGACAAGGTTGCAAACTACCCCCGTAAACGTTGTCACCCACCCAAGCGCAGCCCTCACAGGCTCGTATCGGCTTGGGGGAGCAAACACCCAGGCCTGGAGGAGCCCCAGAGCCCACCATGGTTGATGCAGCCGCTGCTCTGCTCCAGCAAACCCCATAATTTGTGTCCCGGGGAGGCTGCCAGCAGCAGTATTATTTCTGCAGCGTTTGGTGGCCCTGTCTCCTGGGCCATTAACCTGGTGGCCCCCGTAGTCCGTCTCGATTTTTGGTCTCCAGCCTTGCGTGTTGACCAGGATTCATTCCCGATGTTTCTCCTGGAAGGTGTTTTCAACAGATCTCTGCTAATACAAGGTTCATTTTCACCCCATGCCCACTCCCCCAGCTGGGGACGTTCAGTCCCCTATTGAGGTCAATTTTGTTTCGGTAGGCGCATTCATGGGGAGAGGAATGTGCAAGACTTCAGAGGTTTTAAAATCCTTTCTAAATCCTTTGCAGCCACAGCTGATTCTCCCCCAGCACTGTGTCTGGCTGCTGGAAACACCAAATTTGAACTAAAGAGCAGCCTCAGCGTGTTACTTGCCCGGCAATGGCTGTGGCCACAGCTCCCACCTATCCCTGTGCACACAGCATTCTAGGAAAAATCATGCAGATTTGGGGCACGTCAAGATTTATTTATTTATTCCCAACTGGGGCAAGGGAAAAATAAAGTGTTAACCTACAAGTTAACTCACGGGTCCAATGTGTTAAATCCCAAATAGCCCCAGGGGTATTAAGGCTGAGGAGTATGGAGCTGGCTGGAAATGGCTCAGCTCCACCAGCCCGGCCTGTGCTGATGTCTCTTTTGTGTGTCGTTACCGAAGTTCCTGCTGTCTTTGATGCGTGGTCCTTTTTCCTTTTGCAGAGCAATGAGCCCTTAGTTAGACCCTCAGCCTTTAAACCCGTAGTTCCTAAAAACTTCCATTCCATGCAGAACCTCTGCCCGCCGCAGAGCAACGGGGTGACAGAGAACAGAAAGAGCTTGAACCACGCCAACAGCAATAGCCCGTCCGCCCCCAAAAGTGGACTCGACAAGCCCGGCCTTAACAGGACTACAAACCAAGTGGGAGGCCTTTCGGATTCGGGCCGTAACTCGTTAACCAGCCTGCCCACCTACGGGACGGGCTACAGCCAGCACGTGGGCCCGATGAGCGCCTCGACCAGCCACATCAACCGCATCGGCACCACCTACGTGGACAAGACCATCGTGGGATACAACGGGATATCTACCTCAGACAGCGGGCGCTCGTCGAGCAAGAGCACCTCCTCGTTCAACAGACTGAACCATCTCAACGAAACGATGCCTTTCCACTCGCCTTCCACGGACGACATCATCCAAGACCTGGAAGACCGGCTGTGGGAGAAGGAGCAGGAGGTCCTGCAGATGAGGAGGAACTTGGACAAGAGCGAGGCGGCCATCTTCCAGGTGTTCGAGGAGAAGCAGAAGATCTGGGAGAGGGAGATGGAGGACCTGAGGCAAAACTACGCCAACAAACTGCAGCAGGTCTCCAAAAAGGCGCAGCGGGCTCAGCAGGCCTTGCAGCTGCAGATCTTCAAGCTGCAGCAGGAGAAAAAAAAACTCCAGGACGACATGGGGCAGCTCCTCCAACAGCGCGAGGAGCTGGAGAAGAAATTTGTGGCTTTCAAGAAGGAGCAGGCTGAGTTTCTCCCAAAGATTGAGGAGACCAAGTGGGAGGTAAGTGGACCTGGGAGAGGTTTTCTTGGAGGGCTCTGATGACCCAAAACACCTCCATTTGCCCCAAATGCACCCCACAGACGAAGGCTGTGGGTCGGTGGCCTACAGAAAACACGACACTTCGGTCACCTCTACGTTTGTCTGAGCTCCAAACCTGTGGTTTTCAATTAAACTGAGTATTTTTGGTACGTGCACATCCTGTGCTGGTTAATAATTAGGCTTCACAGGCCAGGTCACTTCCACGTGGGACATCCCAACGCAATTTCAGTGACTGCAGGTCTCTCCGTGCAGCTCTTTGTGCCTCTCCAAATTGGGTCTAAGCCTATTTTAATTAAATTCTTCTAACGTCTGCGTTTGGGCAAACCTTGAAACCGCTTTTCAAATATTTGATTTATTTTTTTTTTCTTACTTAAGATATAAAGCAAGTGAGCTAAGAGTGATACCGATAGCCAAGTTTACCTCATGCTTTCCATTGTAACGCGCTGTTTTCAGTTGCTAATAAGTTTATCTCCCTCAAAAGGCTGAAAGGCAAATTCCTCTTTCTAGGTCTCGCATATTTTTTTTTCTTCTGTTTCTATTTTTAGAACGTTTTTTTATCAAACTCTGTTTGTATAGCCAGTGCTAACATGTTTTTTTTTTTCAGCTTGATCATGTGAAGAATTTTAATCCTTCCACAGACTGGCTAGAAACTTTAAATTTATTAAGACTGCATGGGCGAAAAGTAGCTCTCAAATCAAGAAGCCCCTATTCTGCTAATCCTGATGGAAAATCAATGAAACTGGGATTAATTAGGCTCTGAAATGTGCTATTTGCAGATGTTCGGCTGAGCTTATTAGAGGCTTGCTAGTAAAATCTCTGCGAGTTGCCTCCCGGAGAAAGCGGGGTGCATTGCCCCTCTGTTGGCCAGCTGCTCTGCCCAGGTCTTTTTTGTGCCTTCCCACAAGTTGGGTCTGGAAAATTCCCTGATTTTGCACTGCTAAAACCACAAATGGGCTTTCGATTATTTATTATAAGGAGGCAGGATTCAGCTGGTGGATCAAGACCCCTAAAATCTGTAGACGCCTAAACTTGGCTGAGCTGCTCCCCATGCTCTGCAGACTGTGTTGCCTAGATCTGCAAAACACACACACACAGACCTAAATTTAAGCATTTTAATCTGACAATTGAGTCTTTCCCAAGCCGTTCTTCATCATGTGTTTCTCTGCCTTTTGGGAGAAGCCAGCCCGCGGAGAGCACTTTGAGTAAATCCACGGTTGGGCTTGTGCAGCTTTTCAGCTAGGCATTAACGACGTGGCTGTAATTACAGCCCAAGCAGCACGATGTCATTCTGCATCTGCTGCAGACAAGTGCTGGCGGGGATGTGGGTGCTCATTTAGCTCCGGGAGCTCCAGGAGAGCCGGTGCTGGTGCTTGTAGGTACCTCTCCTGGCTCTTCAGCTGCTCGTGGTGGGCACTGGGCCATCCTGATTGCTGAGTTTCAAGGTTTTGCTCAACATTATGCACTATGATGTGTTTTTAGAGTTCCCTTCCAACATCTCAGTCCACGTTTGGTGGACTAAGCAGAAGTAGGGGAGTGTCATAGTGAACTGTGCCACCTCCACAACGCATTTACATGCTGCAGCAAGGGTATTTCCATGGGGCATTTACGCAGGACTCCTGTGGCTTGTGGTTAGGTGAGGATAATGAATGAAGGGAGAGAAACACCAGCACTCACCCCAGCTCTTTGGTTAGCTCCCTCTGGGAACAGCACCAGGTCCCCAAGAGCCAAATCTCCCCCACAAACACAGGGACAACCTTTAGGTCTTTGGTTTGGGTCCCAGTGAGGGTTGGAGCTTGGTGTTGGAGCAGTTGCTGGCCGTCTCTGCTACCTGAGCCTCTTGCCAAGACGAGGCCGTGCAGGGGGTGGGGGCTCCTCGCTGCTTTCCTCCTCCCTCACGGCTTCTCTCCCCGCAGGTGTGCCAGAAGGCGGGGGAGATCTCCCTGCTCAAGCAGCAGCTGAAGGATTCCCAGGCAGACGTCTCCCAGAAGCTGAACGAGATCGTGGGGCTGCGGACGCAGCTCAAGGAAGGCAAAAACTTCCTGCGGGAGAAAGAGGAGCAGATCCTCACCCTGAAGGACTCCTACAGCTCCAAGAGCGTCAACCTGGAGATCTGCGAGAGCGAGCTGCAGCGCAAGATGAGCGAGGTGCAGGTGCTGAGGGAAAAACTGAACCACTGTGAGATGGAGGTCTCCGGACTCAAGCGGACGCTTGCCAGCATGGGACCTCCGGCAGGGTCTTTCGGAGGGGAGCTGGCGGAGAAGCTGCGGGACCCCCTGGCCTGCGAGAGCGACGAAGCCAAGATGCAGAGGCAGAGCGAGGACAGCGTCGGCGCGCTGCGGAAGGAGGTGGAGAGGCTGCAGACGGAGCTGAAGCTGGAGCGGCAGCAGCGGGAGCAGCAGGTGCTGGACTTCGAGGAGGAGCGGCGCACGTGGCAGGAAGAGAAGGAGAAGGTCATCAAGTACCAGAAGCAGCTGCAGCTCAACTACGTGGAGATGTACCAGAAGAACCAGCTCCTGGAGCACAAGGTGAACGAGATGAACACGAAGGCCACCAGCCCCCCGCACACCGAGGAGAAAAAACCCTGGACTCCCTCCAGACTCGAGCGAATAGAGTCCACCGAGATCTGAGGTGGGACCGAGACGATGCCCAGGTTTTGTTATTTTATTATTTTTTTTAATTGCTGTGCATGTACTACCTACTCAAGCCAGTGATCTTCCGAAGGATAACGCGATACCGTCGGAGCGGCGTGAGTCCGCCCACGCCGAGCTCCCTCACCCTTCCTCTGTTCTTCTGTGCTCTGTAGGTAAACTAACTGTGGATGTGCGTTGGTTTTCGATTGATAATGCGACATCTTTTGTTTGTTTTTTTGTTTGTTTTTTTTTTCCTAGTACAGCTGGTGAGGGTCAGTTGTCTCTTTCGTAATCTGCCGTGACTGTTACTTCGCTAGAGGCTGCCACCCCTCTCCTACAATTCACAAAATTGGTCGGTTGTTTTGGAGGGCTGCGTTTGGTTCCTTTGGTTTTCGAAGCATTTATATGCAGCAAAACAGTTCAAAGTGGCAGGTTGTTGTGTTTTGTTTTTTATTTCAGGGCAATTTTAGCCACATTGGCTAACGGAGCAAAGCTCTTGGGCTCCTGAGCAAACTCACTGTTCCGCGTCAAGTATCTTGTCTAGACAATGGTCTTCGTGAAGTCAGGAGGAGACTGGCCCCTGATTTCAGTGAAACCAGACATCTCTCTGCCCGGTGACTCCCTCCTGCAGCCCGTAGGAGGGCCTGTAGGAGGTTAGGATGTCCTGGAGCACCAGGACGAGCCTGTCCTGGTAACAGAAGCCACCAAGGGATGGTCGCCCAGCAGGAGCTTCTGTCGACACATGCTGCGTTTTCATTTCCTTGTCTCTTCCTTCTGCATTTCCGCTTCACCTCCTGGGTCGTGACCAGCCCTGGGAGCAGAAAAACCCTCCCACCTCTGCCTTGATCCCCCCTGTTCTTACCTATATCCAAGCTGGCTACAGCAAGAAGAAAAAAAAAAACTTGAAATCTTGAGATCTAAGCCAGTTCCCCTTCTCAAGAGCCCCCACAATCAATGGAACGAGGTTTGGGGTAGCCTCCAACCCCGTGGGATGTTTATGCAAGCAGAAGCTTTAGCAGCTTGCCCAGAAATTTGTGCAAACCCATCCCCAAACGAGAGACACTTCGGTGCATTCTCTCTGCCCAGGGTGTTCTTACACAAGGCGATGCTTCAGGTCGTGCAGGTGCTTGTGTCCCCGGCCGAAAAATAACCAAATCCTACGTGCACACTCCCTGAAAACGATGCGGGCATCAAACACCAGCATTCAGCTTTAAAAGGGGGGGGCGAAGCGGGCCTGGTTCTCCCTTGCACGGATGCTTTTTTAACAAAATGCTGCGCTGGGGGGATTTGTGCTGACTGGGCAGCAGCCAGGGGATCGGTGCAAGCGGGAATTTGGGCTCTTTGCCCTGGAGAGCAGCTAGAACAAAGCCAGAATTAGCATCTCGGGACACTCTTCACCTTCCAAGTTCCCTTCTCTCTCCGCTCCCCATCACCAGGTCTGACCTGGGGGGATCAGACTGCGCCGCGGGGAGCTCCAGGCTGGCCAAAGAGGCTGAGCAGGAGAAAGGAGACTCCAGTCGAGGTCAACAGACAATATTTCGGGGAGGAACTGCTGGTAGCTGGCGGGGATCCCTGGAGCTGCAGCAAATAAGAGATGTGGGAGGAGATCGGGGCATTTCCAGACCCTGGTGGAGGGCACCTGGGTTCTCCCACGGCTTCTGCCTGTGCCTCGGGAGCTGAAGGAGGAAAATTGGTGCCAGCCAGCAGCAGACAGTGCCATGCCGAGGGCAGGGATGGGACGGGCAAGCGAGGACCTGGCAGAAGGTCGCTGGAGTCAAACGGGGCAGGTCCTCAGCCCCCAGCCCAGCCCTGCTCTTTGCTTCAGCATTTCAGAGCCCAAAAACCCAGTCAGGGGTCTGAGAGGCACAGCTCTGGGCAGGCAGATCCCAGGGCTTCCTCCGTTCCACACAGCGAGCTTCTAGATGGGGCCAACCGCCCCCATGGGGTCGGGGTTGGGGATGTGGTGTCTCGTGCTGCTTTCTGTGCCTCTCTTCGGAGAAACCTGCGCTGTCTTCCAGCCCCGAGCAGCTGAGGGGGAGCTGTGCTTGTCAAGGGCTTTGCAGTCCCTGGGAAATTGGGAGGTGTTTTGTTCTGGATGCCTGTTGCGGGATGATTTTGAGGCCACCACACAAAAAGCACGCAGACCATCAGCAGCAAGAGCCCAGGCTACGAAGATGGGCTTCTTTCACCCACCTCTGCCCCTCCTAGCTCTCCAAAAATCCACGGGCAGGAGGAGCAGGGGCTCACCTGCCCTCCTCACACACCCAGATCCCAGCAGCAGCAGTCAGCCAAGCCCTGCAGTGCGTCAGGTTTGCTCTGACAGCTTTTTTTTTCCCAGATCTTTTTCCTTTTTTTTTTTTTTTTTTGCAGTGGTGCCAGGAATGAGTGTGTCCTGATAGATCCCTGCGAAACCTGAAGGTGTCGGGTTTGGCTGACTGCTGGAAGAACAGCCCAGGTGCCAGATTGGCATTTTAATTCAGAGAATGGCCGAGGAGGCTCACGACTTGTCCTTCCATGAGGTTAATAAAATCTTTCTGTCCCGTGAAACTCACCCGAGAATTTGGGCTTGGCCACATCCCAGCTGTCCTCTCCACCTCTGCTCATCCAGCCCCGGAGCTGAGGGGATTCTGCTCCTGGCTCAGGTGTAATTCTGCAAGTTCTGCTGCTGCCCTCAAAGCCTCGCACGTGTTTAGGGCCAGATGTGCTGGGATCCATGGGGTTGGGGCCAATACGACCCGAGACCTGTGGAAGAGAGAGCGGTGGGAAGACCTGGAGCCCGCGGGTAGGACCAACCCACCCCGCTCCTGCCCTTCGCTGTGGCACTTTACAGCTCGCTCCAGCACGACCAAAGATCTCCGAAAGGCTCCGGGCTGCGTGCCTGGAGCTGCCTCCTTTCCTTTTCACCAAGTTTCCCTGCTGGAGATCTGCTCCCCACGTTGCCCGCATCCTTCCTGTCCCTCTGTATCAGCTCTCAAGCCTCTTGCTTCTTGTTGGAGGACACAGATCCCATGCCTCCTGGTCCCTGTGGGGCACCGAGGCATTGGGATCGCATCCAGCTGGTTTCAGGCTTCCCAACAGGATGCAGCTGTCAGCAAAACCAGAGCTCAGCCTCTGCACTTTCGGGATAAGCTTCTTCCTAGGTTCACCCAATGAAGGGGATCATGTTGGATCTGGAGCAACCTCCGGCACTGCAGGGTTGTGCGTTCGGGGCTCTCCTCCAGATCTGTTTTCTCAGGCAGAAAGCCTCTGCTTTCTGTCACGAAGCAATAGGTTTTTCTAGCGAGATTTAAAAGGGACTTCCCAACTCCGATACCTGCAGGCAAGCCAACGTTCCTTCAAATACCTTCGTAACTCTGGCCTCTGGGCTCTCCTCTTTCAGAAAGGGATGTGAGGCCAGCTCTGGCTCCGAATAACCACCAACGATTTGAGTTTGGTGGTGCCCATGTGTCCAGAGAGCCTGGAAGTGCCCAGGTGCAGCATACAGGCAGTCTGTGTCCCCGGGATGTGTGCTCGATCCTCCTTTGGTGCCCATCCCAGGGACAGTCACTGCCACCGGGCCCCCAGGGGTGCCTGAGCTCGCAAAGTCCCATTTGGTGACAGCCAGGCACCCACGGGAGACCGAGGAGCCCTCCTGGAGGAGAAGGTGCCCGTGGTGGCACGTGGGTGCCCTTCCAGTGGCCGAAGGGAACAAATGTGCCCAGAGGGAGCTCCACGCCCGGTGCCAAAATGCTGCACAACCCCAGACGCGTCTATGCAGTCTCTTTCCACGCAGTGGAGTCCCCGCAGAGCCCAGGCCCAGGGCTAGGTCTCCTCCAAGGTGTCTTTGTTTGCACTCATTCGGACCTGGTAAATGCTGTGAGGCTGAGAGGCAGCCCGTCCTGACCCTCTCTCGGCCTTCGCCTTGCACTGGGCAGGATGGTTGTGAGGGTTCCCTCATCCGAAATAAATGCACGTTGTTTCGTCACCCGTCTCCACGTCTCTTCTCCAGCCCATCCACCCCAAAACCCAGCTCCCTGATGGAGGGACAGCAGGTTGGGCCGGCTGGCGCCCCAAGCAAGCCCGTTGTCTGATCTCACCAGCAATAAAAGCCCCGCAGGGGAGCGGCCAGAGCTTCCCAGGCTCTGTGTGTTTGTAGGATATCCACATCAGACCCCTTCGTCCAACATTTGGACCCGCCCAACTGTAAATTCGACCCCAGCCTCGTGCTTTCTCTCCTCTGTTCGTTTCTCGAAGCCTCGGTCTCTCTCTCTTCTCTCTCTGCTCTTACTGTGAATTCAAACCAGAAGTGTTCTGAACTCGACTCTGTTACTGTTCGTTCTGCGTTGACTGTTGCTGGTTCTCCGAACTGCGTTTAATGAGACTTTGGAAAAAAAAAGAAAAAAAAAAAAGAAGAAAAAAATTATATATATATCTATATAAATATACTTTAAAAAAATAATAAAAAATAAAATATTTAAAAAAAAGAACTCCATAAGGTTGGGTGTGTCTCCTGTCCACCAGTCACTTTCAAACACTGTTGTCTCGACCTGGCCTCTGGTCGGTGTATTTAACAAAAAGAGGTGGAAAAATAAAGAGAGAAAATACAGCATTCTGGGATTTTTGTACAGCAAAGGTGTATCCGTGTAGGGAATTCTTGTTAAAACTCTACCACATTTCACAATCTACTGCTAGTCTGTTGTATGTTTCCATGGGGTTATAAAGATGTGAAGAGCTACTGCCTTCGCGATTTTCTACGGTGAATATATCTATAGATATCTGTACAGAGGTATGTATATATATAAATAGATATGAAGATCTATATGTATACGTATCTCTCACTCTCCTCTCTCTATCTTGACTGTGAAGGATTTTTATTGGGCAAAATAAAACGGAGAAAGGCCCCTTTTAAAAACCTGACTGCGTGCTTGCCTGGTTGTGTTGTGTGAGGGTGGGAGAAGGAGGAAAATTACCGGGGATTTTGGGAGGGACACGGGGAATGGTGCTTGGGGGCTGCCGGAGATGGCTCCACGGGGGAAACACACATCTTGGACACAACAGCACTGCCATATGAGGTGATTTACAGCCTCCTCACAGCCCTAACGGGAGCGTGGTGGGAACACTGATATAAAATACTGATATCTGATATATGATATTTGGGATTCTGGGGCTAAAGGTGGGGGGCGGCCTCTTCTCACAGGTAACGGTGATACTGTGTTCAGTTTGGGGCCCCTTGCTACAAGAAGGACATGGAGGTGCTTGAGCGGGTCCAGAGAAGGGCGACGAAGCTGGTGAGGGGCCTGGAGAACAAGTCCTATGAGGAGCAGCAGAGGGAGCTGGGCTTGTTCAGCCTGGAGAAGAGGAGGCTCAGGGGCGACCTTATCGCTCTCTACAGATACCTTAAAGGAGGCTGTAGCGAGGTGGGGGTTGGCCTGTTCTCCCACGTGCCTGGTGACAGGACGAGGGGGAATGGGCTTAAGTTGCGCCAGGGGAGTTTTAGGTTAGATGTTAGGAAGAATTTCTTTACTGAAAGGGTTGTGAGGCACTGGAACAGGCTGCCCAGGGAGGTGGTGGAGTCACCATCCCTGGAGGTCTTTAAAAGACGTTTAGATGTAGAGCTTAGGGATATGGTTTAGTGGGGACTGTTAGCGTTAGGTCAGAGGTTGGACTCGATGATCTTGAGGTCTCTTCCAACCTAGAAATTCTGTGATTCTGTGATTCTGGAGTGGCCTCAAGTTGTGCCAGGGGAGGTTCGGGTGGGAAATGAGGAGACATTTCTGTCAGAAAGCGCTCAGTGTGGGGACGGGGTGACAGGGAGGGGGCGGCGTCCCCATCCCTGGGGGTGTTGAAGGGAAGGTGCCTGGAGATGTGGGTGAGGTGTAGGGGGCTGGTTGGAGCAGATGATGTGGGAGGGCTTCTCCCCCCTTGATAATTTTGTGATTCTTTGAACTTGGGGTGTTCCCAATGCTGGGATTTTTTTTGTGTGTTTTTTTTTTTTTTTTTTTTTTTTTTTTTTGTGTGTGTGTGTGGTTTTTTTTTGGTGTTTTTTTGTGATTTTTGTGATTTTTTAAAATTTTATTTTTGTGATTTTTTTGTGATTTTTGAGACTTTTTGTTTTTTCTATGTGTGTGTTTTGTGATTTTTTTATTTTTTGTGATTTTTTGTGATTTTTTGGTGTTTTTTTTGTGATTTTTTGTGTGATTTTTTGTGATTTTTGGTGATTTTTTGTGCCTTCCTCCCCCCACCCCTCAGCCCTCCCCAACATGGCGGCGCCCCCCCCGAGGCCTCTCAGGACCCCATCACGTGACCCCCACCCCCCTCCCACGTGACCCTACCCTCACGCCCCCTACCGGCCTCTCTCACCCCTCCCCCCCCATTTCCCGCTCGGCTCCCGTAGACCGGAAGTGCGTCACCAGCGGCCACCCGGAAGCGGCGGCGGAGGCGGGCGGCAGCGGCGGCGGCTGCGGCAGCGCCGGGCCCGGTGAGCGGGGTGGGGGGGGGCGGGTAATTAATGACGGGATAATTAATGACAGAAACGGGTAATTAGTGCCCGGGGAGGCTGCTGGGAGGGGAAATGAGGGGATATTTCTGTCAGGGGTGGGGACGGGGGACGGGAGGGGCCTGGGGGTGCTCAGGGGGGGCCGGGCCTGGCGCTTGGGCCTCGTTAAGGTCTTGCAGCGTTAATTGTGGTGTGAGGAGGGATTTTTTTTAAGCAAGGTGTGCGCGGAGACGTGAAGGAGCCCGGATACATCTCATTGAAGAAGAGGAGCGCGGCGTCAGGAGAAAGAGCGGGTGCAGGAGGGGGGGAACTGAGCAGTGAGGGCGTGAGGAGGGCTGCAGGGGCTCGAAACACCGAGATTTAGGCGTGGAGATGCGTGAAAGCCACACACAAAACGACCTCACATATTTTTTTTAAGGTGCTGGAAGTGTCACGGCCCTGCCAGCCTCATCCCGCCGTGCTCCTGCTGCAGAACAGGAGATAAAAGAAAAATTCTCCCAAAATTCTCCCTGCAGAAACGTTCCCCGTGCAGAATCTCTTCCCAAAGGTGTCCCGGAGCTTAACGCGGCTGTGTGGGTGCGCCCCCAGCAGCGGGTGCTGCTCGCCTGCAGGGTGCAGACAGCAGGAGGTTGGCTCCCTGCCTCCGAAGCGGGGCTGGTGGTCCCGTGGGGGGTGTTTGGGGAGCAGCAGGGTGCTGTAGGTGGGCTCGGAGCAGCTCCCAGCAGTGCACGGGACGTGTTTTAGAGGAGTGTTGTGTCCCTGGGTGCTGCTTGCCTGCACCTCAATGGCAGCAAAACAATCAGAGGGCGTGCAGAACTGAGTCAGGGCAGAAATCCTGGGTCAGATAAACCCCACCTCATCCAAAATGAGTCCTGCAGCCCCCCCACAAGGGGCTGGGGGAGCTGGAGGTGCTGCAGGGCTCAGGATCTCCCTCCCCAGCCAGGGGATCCCAGCCTGTGCCGGGCTGCTGGGCTCCAGGCGCAGGAGGACGGCGTCGTGCTGCTTGTGGGCAGCTCCAGCTGGCCGTGACAGCCAGCAGGGGTGGGAATTAAACACAAGCAGACGTTTATAGGAGCTGAACGGGGCCCTTCCCACCTTCCCACGTTCTTTTTTCCCAATTCCATGCCCAGATCCTGCCCTCAGCCAGCAGCACAGCCACGTTGAGGCAGAAGTCAAACCACCCAGCGAGGGAGCAGCCTGCAGAGAGGCTTATAAAGGGTTTATCCCCCCCACATGCATCAGGAGCGCAGAATTTCACAGGTTTTGCGTTGCTGTGGCTCTCCCAGGCTCTGCTTCTCCTTTCTCCTGATGTCCTGCGTGCCGAGGGAGCAGCAACAAGGAGGAGGAGGCTGGCACTGCCCGCTCCAACACACCCCAGGGCTGTTTTTTTCCACCCTCAGCATCCGACTGGTGGCGAACGGGCTCCTCTGGCAGCCGGAGCGGGCTGGCAGCGCGGAGCTGGGCTCCTGACAAATGTCTCATCCTCGCCCTTTCGGCTGCGGCTGGCTCAGGAGGGAGCTGGGGAGGCATTTCCAGCCTCCCTGCTCCCCACAGCTGGCTCCCGTGCCCGGAGGGTGAAGCTTTTCTCCGAGTTCTCGCGGCTTGAGGTGATTTGTGGTGGTTTTTTCCCCTGCTTTGCTCCACGTTTCTCCTTCTGGGTGCCCCTTACCCAGCGGCAGAGCAGCCGTGGGTATTTCCACAGCCCTGTGGGCGCTGCTTGATGCAGCAGAGCGCCTCATTTCAGTACAGAAACCATTCTGAAGCTGCCCCTGTCTCACAGAAACGTGTTCTCGTGGCTTAAAATGAAAGAAAAGTGGCCGGGCTCTGTTACAAAAAGGATTTTTTCCTGAAATCCCACGATTTCTGCCAGATTCCTTGTAGCTGCTGGTGCCCGCCTGCTGATTTAGAGCCTCAGGGTGCCTCCTGCTGCCCTACAGCCCCGTGGGGGAATCCCTGGAGTCACCCGGCTCCCGGTGGCCTACAGGAACTGATGCCGAAGTGCTGGGTGCCCGCTGGAAGCCGCTGACTTCTCCGTCTGCCCTTTTTGCAGTACCTGTGAGTGGTTCAGAGCCCGGCTGAGCTGCGAGCCATGGCCACGGTGCTCGTCCGCCGACGCTTCCCGAGGCTGAGCAGGGTGACCGCCGCCCTCCTGACTTCTTCAGCCCCCTGCAAAGCCGAGGAGGGAGGCGGCTGGAGGAAGGAGGAGGAAGAGGAGGAGGAGGAGAACCCAAAAAAAGGCGCCGCCATCCAGCTGCTGACCCCGCCGGGCTACAGGGTGCTGCACAACCCCGCTGCCTACGCCAGGAGCAGGGCCAGGAGCAGCCTCCAGGCTTTTGGGGACGCTCCCAGCGGCTCTGCTGTCCCTGCTGCCTCCTCCCAGCTTCTGCCACCCGCCAGAAATGCCCTGGCCAAGCCCCCCCGCAGGAAGAAAACCCCGCTCCGGGCCAAGCAGGAGGTGGAGAAGGAGCAGAGCGAGCTGCACGACTCCAAGGAGGACCCGCGCGTGTTCCAGCGGGGGCGCCCCGAGTACAAATCCCTCTGCTACAACAGGTTCGAGACCCTCGAGACCCTCCCTGGGGAAGAAGCCGAGGCGATTCTGCTCGGCGTGACCTCCTGGGGGGGAAACCAGAGCCCCAGCAGCTATCACCGAGTGTTTCCACAAGCTCAGCCGCCTCCCTGAGGAGCACCACGCCGCGCTGCTGGCCGAGCCCGGCTTCGACACCTTGTCCCGCTGTGCTGTTGAGCAAATCCAGGGCTTTTCCACCCCGCAGCTCATCGAAATTTTGAAGGCTTGCGTCCGCCTGGGCGTCCCCCCCGCTCACTCTCTCCTGGACGCCTGCGAGCGCGATTTCTGCCGCCGCGCCTGGGCCATGAGCTTGGAGCAGCTGCTGCTGGTGGCCGACTGCTGGCGCTGCCTGCCCCGCGCCGTGCCCTCCTACCTCAGCATCCTCTTCAGCTACGCCGCCAGGAGCTGCCAGGATCTGGCTTTGCCCCAGCTCGTTCAGCTCCTTTACATCATCGGCGAAGGCAGGAGAGCCCCCCCGGAGCTGGTGCAGAAGCTGGAGGGCGTTATTTGGAAGCACCTGGACGCCTGCACGCTGGAGGAGGTGGGAGCCATCAGCTTGGGGCTCTTCAAATCCCTCAGCGCCGTCCCCGAGCGCCTGGTGAGGAGGATCGCGGAGCGGGTGGCGCCGGAGCTGGAGGAGATGAGCACCTACGCTTTGGTCAACGTCCTCAAACTGCTGCGTTACGCCCGCCTGGATCACCTGCCCCTCCTCAGGGAGCTGGGGAAGGTGATCCCGCCCCGAATCCCCACCACCAACGTCCAGGGCCTCATGCACGTCGCCCTCGCCTGCTCCTCCTTGCACTACTACGACGAGGCCGTGCTGGCCGCCGTGGCCGCCGCGCTGCCCTCCAAGGTGGCTTACTGCCGCAGCAAGGACGCCGCCAAGTTCCTCTGGTCCTTCGGCTGCTTGGATTACGAGCCCCCGAACGAGGAGGAGTTTTACTCCAGCCTGATCGAGCACACCCGCAGGAAACTGCGCGAGTTCGACAGGTTCCCTGAGCACCTCCTCACCGGCCTGCTCGGCCTGGCCTTCGTCGGGCGCTTCCCTGAGGAGCTGATCGATTATGCTCTGAGTGAGGATTTCGTCCAAAAAACCAGAAACAGTAAATACGAGCTGGGGAAGGATCTCTTCACCCTCGGCAGGAGCGTGGAAATCGAGTGCCCGGGTTACCGAGGCAGCCGCCTCAGCCCTCAGCTCTCCCAGGAGATGACCCAGCTGGTTTTGGCTTTCGCCCAGCAGGAAATCTTCGTCAGGCCCGAGATCGTGGAAGCCGTGAGCCTGCTGGAGAGCGTCCTGGGCGGCCCCGAGTACGTGAAGAGCCACATGATCCTGCCCCACGCCCGCTCAAGCGACCTGGAGGTGCACCTGGCCGCCGACGGGCGCCCCGTCCCCTTCAACGTAAAGGATTCTGCGGGGAGGGAACTGCGGGACATCGGGGTCAGCCTGACGGACGAGCTGATGGCTCAGCTCCTGAAGGGGAAATGCAGCACCCAGCCTCGGCGGGGAGCGGAAAACGAAGCCACAGCTCCTGGTTGGGAGCCGAGGGGGGAAAAACAAGCTCCACAAACACCGTTTTCAGGCAGATCTGGTCCCGCAAGAACCTCATTACACATTTCACCCCCCCTAGGGGGTTTCCTGGATGCCCCCAGCTCTCCCGCTCTGCCCCAGCAGCCTGGGGGGGTGAAGCTGGCCATCCAGGTGTCCAACCGAAACCACTACTGCTACCTCTCCAAGCGGCTGCTGGGGCTGCACCGCCTGAAGAGGCGGCAGCTGCGGCTGCTGGGCTACGTGGTGCTGGAGCTTCCCTTCTGGGAGTGGTTCCCCCTGCTCAAACGCACGCGATCGGAGAAGCTCAGCTACCTGCACTACAAAGTGTTCGACCCCGCGCTGCTCCGCGGGGCTCCCTAGCGCCGCGTCCCTGCTGATTTAAATCCCCCCCCGGGCTTTGGTTTCATTTTTGGCAGCTGTTTCGGGAGCTGAGGCTGCCTTGGCGCGTCCGCTCGTTCTGCTCTGCTCTGCTCCAGCAAACCTCAAATGCTTCCGTGGCAAATAAAAGCTCCTCTCGTGTTCATTTTTCTCCGTGATTGCTTTGTTTTCTCTGCCCTGAAGGAATTCGGGTGGGTTTTGCTCAGAGAGCGGGGCCGTGTCGCTGCCGTTGGGGTTTTGGGGAAAAAAATTGGGGTGGTTTTTAAGGGATTGGGGTCAGGAAGATGCGTGTCCCCTTTCCAGCACTGCTCAGTTAGGGCTGCTGGGCAGGCTGAGCTCTTCCTTTAGGAGAAATAAGCAAATAAAGGGGGCAGAGGGTGGGAAACGAGCAGCGGGGCGGAGGCTGGCGCTGAGAATTGGGGCGCTGTGACCCCAAAATGTGAGTTTTGTGGTGAGGGGACTCGAGTCCCGCTGCTGGAGCCTCTGCTTCGGGGTGGTGTCCCCACGGGGTGGCCCATCCTGCTGTGTCCCAGCTCTGGAGGCTGCTGTTTCACCCTCTAACCGCTAATTGCCTCGACGAGCTAATTGCCAGAGGTGATTAAAGGCTTGGAAAGGGATAAGGACGGGGGCCATGACCTCGGTAACGGCCTCGGGCTTTAGGAGCTTTCCCGGGTGGCCGCTGAGGGGGAGAGGATCGCAGCCCAGGACGGTGACGGGATCAGAAACGGGGCTGAGAGGCATCTCGGGGCGTTCCAGGAAAGGGAACAGCGCGGGCTGCTCTTTGGGTACCTCAGGGCTAAAAGGAACTGAAGGAACCCGCGAGGCAGCGGGGGCAGAACGAACCCAAAAGCAGTTTTCATTCTCCCAGCGCCTGGAACAAAACCTCAGCTCTCACTCCCACTGCCAGGGGTCAGGGGGGGTTCAGAAGCTGATGGAAACCCCCCCGCAGGCAGCACCGCGTCCCGTCCACGTGGGTCCTGCCCCAAAACTCTGCAGGCAGCACAAGGACGCAGCACGTGGGGAGAAAATTGGGCACAGAAGCAAAGATTTTGGTCCAAAGCCAGCACGCGGGACCTGCGCGGTGTCTTACACGAGAGATTTTCACTGATGTTCACTTATTTTGCCTTCTTTTTTTATTTTTTTTCTTTTCAAAGCTGAATCTGATGCCCAGAGTGAGCCCTTTCCGGCTGCAAAGATGGTGATAAACGTCTGCCTCCCCCAGTTCAAGCCCCGAATTCACTGCAACAAGGTAAAATGTAAAAACGGGGGGGCTCAGGGGGTGGGGGGCTAGGTGGAATTGCCTTGACATGCCTGGGGAGGCTTTTTTGCTGCTTATTGGTGATAATTAGCAGGCTGAATAATTATTCCAGCCTTCTGGGCTTTCCTGAGAAGGCACAACAAGGGCAGCTCGTGCAAACTCCCATTTTTTGGTAAGATCTGGGCAGCCCAGAGAGGGATCTGAACGCGGGAGCCGCCGCCTGCTTTGGGATCTGCATCTCGCACGAAGGGAAAACGGAGCCGGAAGGCTCGGGGCTTGGAGAAATTCAGCCGGGGGAGATTTCCCAGCGGGCCCACGCTGCTCTTCGAAACTTGCTTTGCCCTTTCCGTGCTCGGATTAATTAACGGCAGCGCTGCTGCTGGGTGTCGGAACACCGTGTGGCCTTCCGCGAGTGCTCCAACGTGGCGCACGCCAATTAGCGGAGGGGAAGCGCCCTCGTTTTGCAGGATCTCATAACAAGGCGATGTTATGTGCCTACAGGTGCGCGTGCTTTGACTCTCGATGTGTTTTTTCCCCGCAAGATTACCGCTTCCCCCTTGTCCAGTTGAGCGTGCGGCTCTTGGCGATGTTTGTTGGAGGTGCTCTGATCAGAACCCACAAGTTTTTGCTCAGCATCATCAGAATCTCTCGGCTGCCACCTCCTTTTTTTAGTTAAAAGCCACTTTTGGTAGCAATTCTCCCTCATTAAGTCTCTTTTTTGGGTAAATGAGTGGTGGGTAAGATTCAGAGAACGCCCTCACGGGGCAGGAGGAGCTGACACAACATCTCACCAGTGGACAGAGGGAAGGTTCCCGTTTCCCCAGCGCTCTGCTCCCAGCTCTCCAAACCCCTCCAGGCCTTGTTAATTCACCCACCCAGCCGAAACCACGACCCAGCCACGACTTTCCACTCCTACAGCAAGTGAAATCGGCTCTGCAAGCCACTGGCCAGGCAGCAGAGGGGGCAGAGATGGGGCTGGATCTCCTCTCTCGTCCCAGCTACACATGAAACTACAGCCAGGGTTCCTGGTTTGCTGACTTAAGAATAAGTCCTTATGAGAATAGTTTCTTTTTTTTATTTTCTTGCTTCGATTTAATTCCGTTTTTCTCTTGCAACGCAGATTTCTGCCGATGGTTACGAAGTGGAGAACCTGATCTCTGAGGACCTCGCCAGGAGGAACCGTGGCTTCCGCAGCGAGTACTTCATCAAACCCCCCGTCCACGTCACCATCTCCTTCCCCTTCAACGTTGAGATCTGCAGGATCAACGTCGACATCTCCTCCGGAGGCTACCAGACCTTCTCCGGCCTCGAAGTTTACACCTCTACCTCGTGCAATAAAAGCTCCGAGGGGCATTTCTCAGCTCTGGCCGGTCAGCCCCTGTCGGATAAAGACACTTTCACGCTGGTGGGCAAAGCAGTCTTAAAAAATCAAAGCAAAGTGACGTTTGGGCACCGGGGCTTCAAGCCGAGGCCTCCTTTCCACCAGCTGGAGACCGTGGGCTCCTACCCGGGCTCCGTCTCGCAAGAGCTGTGGAACAAAGGCCCCTCCTCGCTCAGCAACGTCTCGCACCTCAAGCTCTGCATCACCCACGTGGCCGGGGGCGGGCTGCCTTGCATCAAGAGGCTGGAGGTGTGGGGGCAGCCCGCCAAGTCCTGCCCGCAGGAGGTGATCGAGGGGGTTTTTCAGGTGGCCTCGCAGTGCCTCGCCCAGGATGGGGGCGGCGGTGGCAGCGGTGGTGGCCTCAAACCCGAGCTCTGGACGCCGATGGAGAGCGACTGCGTGCCCTTGGGCAGCAGCGACGGCGAGCGGCAGGCGCTCCGCAAGCTGGTGGACGTGGTGCAGGACATCCCCGAAGAATTCCTGGACCCCATCACCCTGGAGATCATGACTTTCCCCGTGCTCCTGCCCTCCGGGAAGGTGATCGACCAGAGCACCTTGGAGAAATGCAACCGGAGCGAGGCGGCTTGGGGCAGGGTGCCCAGCGACCCTTTCACCGGCGTGGCTTTCAGCCAGCACTCGCAGCCCCTGCCTCACCCCACCCTCAAAGCCAGGATCGATCATTTCCTCCTCCAGCACAGCATCCCCGGCACCAACCTGCTGGGCAGGGCGCACGCCCCCGAGATGCTCGTCCCTTCCTGCGTGACCGCGGCTTCTCTGAAGAGGAAATTGGACTGCCTGGAGCCCAGCCCCGCGCCGCCGCCCTATTTCTCCTCCACAAACTCGCTCCTCACGCCTACCTCAGAGAACAGTGCGAAAAAAATGAAAGGGGACACTGAGTCGCACCTGATCCACATGGACTGCTCGACAGGTACCGGGCTCCCTAACCTCGCTGCTGTTCCTTCCGTGGCCCGACAGCCCCGGGGCCGGGTTTTTCAGTCAGGAGGTTTGAGATCCCCGCGGAGCTCCGAGGCTGCCGCGTTTTGCTGCTGACAGACGGCCTGGCAGTGGGTTCATCGCCTCATTTCCACCCCCTCTCTCCCCAGCACAACCTGGTGCCGTTTGCTCCCGTTCTCTCTTACTTTTTCTCCCCTCCAGGCTCGTCGCTGTGTTAGGTTTTATTTCCCTTCTCCATCTTGCTTTCAAGCCACTGGCCGGGTGGAGGCTACCTTTTTTTCATAACACACGGCTCAATGTGAAATTGGCTTTTTATTGTATACACCTCTTAGCCCAAGCACCCATTTTGTTCATGCAACAGCAAAAAAAAATTGACTTTAACAGGAAAAGAAACCCGTGGGGCCGTGCCTGGGCTGGAGGCTGAGCTTTGGGAGCGTTTCCCTGCACAGCCAGATCCCAAACCTTCCCCCGGGCTCCTTGGAGGAGACATCCAGGAGGTGCGATGTGCCTGGAGGAGGAGGAGGTGGGCGCTGCTCGCCTTCCTCAGCGTGTGTCAGATCTGGCAGCAGCGCCGCTGGCTGGAAAGCTCCAGGAGGCAGAAGAGCAGCCCCGAGGCGCAGCCCCGAGATAAATCCCTCGAAAAGCCGAGTGAAGCACGGCTCCTGCACGGGGTGCACGGCTCGGGGTGCTCCCTGTAGGGTTCAGGGGGTGCCTGATGTCTTGGGGGGGGCCAGGCAGAAGGAACTCACACCTCTCCCCAGAGATCTGTTCCCTCCCGTGGTTTATCCTCTAATAACGGTTACCTTCCCCTTCCAGTCCCCGATTACAGAGCCCAGCTCTTTCCTCCGTGCCTTTTGCTAGAATCCACTCCTCTTTTGCACGAGCTCTTCCCCCGGGGAGGTGGATTCAGCAAATCAGCCCCGCAGACACCTCGTTTGCTTAATGAGGTCTTAATTAATGGGGCAAAACGCTGGCGTAACCCCCCCAACCCGGCCGAGAAGCTCTTCAACCCTCTGCTTCCCTTCGCAGATGCGATCCCCCACGAGCAAAAACTCTCGGAGAGCCTGGACATGGCCTTGACCTCAGCGCTCAGCTCCATGCCGTCCTTCACGGCCAAGCTGCTGAAGGGGCAGCAGGGCGAGGGGGGCTGCAGCACCTCGTGGAACGCCACCTCCGGCCTCGGTAAGCGGCCAGCGCCTCCGGGAGCGGGGTTACGGGGGAGGCTGAGCTGCTCCTCAGCATCTTTTGGGGCCAGGAAGCCAAATTTGTGCCCAGAATCCCAGCAGGTGTGAATACACACGTGTATATCCACCAGGTTGGTGATTAGGTGCCCTGATCACAGCCCTGGCTGCGTGTGCATGCCCCAAATGATTTTTCTGAAGCTCTGCTGGATGCTCCAGGCCTTTTTATGGCCCTCCACCAGCCGGTGCTCGCTCCGCTGCCTTCCTCTCCTCCCCCTGAGCCAGGATCTGCCTGAGCGAGTGGCCCTGAGTCTCCCTGAGTAGCTCTGGCTGTCTCACAGCTTTTACTGTTAAGTTTTTTACTGTTAAGCTTTTTCCCATTAAGCTTTTCACTGCCCCCTTTTCAAATTGCTGCTATTTGAGCGCTGAGCGAGCCAGGCCCTTCACAAGTGACAGGAACACGATTTTAAATCGAGGGCTAGAGCAGAGGAAGGGAGGCCAATAAAACTGTCTCAGTGGAAGTGAAGAGCTCTGCAATCACCTCCCCTCAATTAAAAGCCCGACGGTGCCAATGCTGCTTTGAGCCAGCCCCTCCTGAGCACAAATCCCTCTCCCACAAGCCAGAGCCTTCCCGTTATCATGGCAGAGAGACAAAAACCACCCTGTGGCCCTGAGATACGAGCACCTGCCTTGGTCTCAGGCGGCACAGCCCCAAATCAAGCAGCTTCTCTTCTCCCTTTGCCTTTGCAGAGCATGGAAGGAGCGGCCAGAGCCAGGGGTGCGCCTCCTGCGGCAAAACCTTCTCGCCCTACTTCAAGACGGAGCCCGTTTACCAGCTCCCCTGCGGCCACCTCCTGTGCCGCCCCTGCTTGGCCGAGAAGCAGAAAGCCCCGGCCGTGGCGTGCGGGAGCTGCAAGCGCTCGGTGGCCACGCAGGACGTCAGGAGGGTTCACTTCTAACCCGCCGGGAGGGCGAGAAAGCGAGGAGCTGCTGCTGCTGCTCAACACGAGGACGACGGCCTTTGGAGAGCCTGCGCTCAGCCTGGCGTCGCCGAGAGGATTCGGGGCTCCTCGTGCTCACAGAATTGTAGCTGGGGGGGGGTCAGAGCAGCGCGCCGAGGGTAACAAAAGCCATAATAGCTTCTTTAACGAGGAACTTGTATTTAGACAGAGCCGACCGCCGCCCTCCCCGCGGCTCAGCCGGTAGCGTAGGTGCCTTTCGGGCAGGGAGTTTTCGCTTCCCGGGGAGTTAAAAACTGTTTAAACACTCGGTGAGCTGAGTCCTCGTGGTGGCTCACGTGGCTCGCCGCCTCCCCCTGCTCGTAGGGACCCCTTGTAGAAAAGCCATCGCATTCCACCCGCCGCCTCTCGGGCCCCGTGGCGTGGCCGGCAGACATTTACGCCTTAATAAAACCATGGCTCACGGCAGCCCCGCGCCCCGCCTCGTAATTGGCCTCGCCGTTCACAATTCGCGATGCCGCGTGGGGAGTTTCTTTGCAGAGCACCGAATAATCGGGCTGCAAAAAGCTGCAGCAAGACGGGGAGGCGAGCTGGGGGCCCTTGGAGCAGCCTCGGGGTTTGCAGGACCACTGCTCAGCTGTCAAATTGCGAGGAGCTCTGCTCTTCATCGAGCTGCTCGGGAAAAAGCCAAGGGAAAATTACTCAGCTCTGTCCTGTCTCCGGGTGAGGTGACAGCGGGGGGTTTTGTCACCTGGAAGCCCCCCCCCGGTGCTGCCACTCGGTTCCTGATGTCTCTCGGCCGAGCAGGCGTTTCTCGCCGCCGCTCTGTGAGGGTTTGTCTGGGGTGAGGAGCTTGCAGCTGAATCACCTCCGTGTACCGCCGTGATTCTCTCTTGAAAGGCAGCCCCTCGCTGAGCAGCTCAGCAATTTCGTGGCTTTCTAGCCGTGCGGAGCTCGTACCCGCCCTTTGTAGTGAAGATGTGAAGCCCCCGGCTTCAAAAGACCCCCAAAAGGGTCTTTTTGCCCAAAAGGGGCAAAAACCAATTCCTAAAAACCTCCCCATTTTTTTCGGCAGCCAAACCCCTGCCAGCTGTGTGCTGCTGTGCACGCCGTGAGCCGCCCAGGCGTGATTCAGCGCTCGCACCTCCTCCGCCCCAGCTCGCTCCCAGGCCCCCTCGCAGCCCAGAAGTTTTTAGGGACACCGTGCCAGCGGGCAGAGGTTCAGCCCGGCACTGTTTTGCTCGGGTTGAGCACGAGTTATCACCCCGTGGGGCTTCACAGGGGGAAATTGAGCACTCAGCCAGGTGGAAGGGGTGGCGGGAGGGTTGCCTCCCTGCTCAGGGAACCTCTCTCTGTGTCCTGTGGGGTCATTCCAAGCTCTCATCCACCCCATTTCCCCCTCCGTGGGCACTACAGGACAGCTTCCAGCCCGTGCAGCCCTATTTGTTGGTACAAGACGGGGAGATGTACGGGATGGTGAAGGGCCGCATCACCCCACACACCCCAAAGCCCAATTTTCATGCCCTCCATCCCTTTTTTTCGCCTCCCTCCCTCCCACCCCCATCCCCTTGATTCCCCTAAGTGATTCCGCGGCGCGGCGGCACAGCCTCCGCCACTCGGATAAAAAAAAAAACAAAAAAAAAACATTTCATTCCCCCCCTGCCCCGGCTTTAAAGAGCCTAATTACATTTTTTAATCTCAGATTCCCGCGTTATCATTCCAGACACAGAGTCATTTGAATGCAGATCGCTCGGGCGACTGCCAGCCTCACGCCGCGGCACTGAAGAGCCCGAGCATGAGCGTGGCACGCCGCTGCCCAATTTAGCGCTGACATTTGGGGCGCTTGAAAGGAAACTTTCCCCACACGGGGCTTTTTTTTTTTTTTTTTGTTAAAATTTTCTCATTTTTGCACTTTCCCCGGTCTTGCCACGCAAGCAGGTCCGGCCCCTGCTGTGAGCGGCGTGAAGGGTCGGGTTGGGGGGAGGTGGTGGGAGCTAACGATGTTGGTCATTAAGGCTGCACCTTAATGAGTCACTGCCCCCCTCCTGGGGCAGCACCGTCACACCCATGGGGTGATGCAGCCCCAAATCCACGGGGTGGGATGAGGCTGAGCCTTGCCCCAAACCCTCTGTGCCTCAGTTTCCCCCTCTATGAGAAAAAAGCAGCCCAGAGGCTGTCCCCACTCCTCCAGCACCCCAAAACCAGCCCCTCCTCATCACCACCGGGGCCGGGACACCCCAAATCCTCGCCTCCTAAACCCGGATCCCTCCCCAAATCCTCGTCCCCCAGCCCAGCAGCCCACTAAACCACCACCATCCACACCAGCACCTCCGAACCTGCGTCCTCTCCCACCCTTTAGGGTTTTGGCTCCCCAAAGCATCCCCCTAAAACCCTCACCCCCACCCCAAACTAACCAACAGCCCTTCCCCTCCCCGTGGCCACCTATTTGAGGGAGGGGGGGAGAAAAAGGGCAGCCCCCGGGCTCGGGGGATTTGCCAGCGCCGAGCGGTGCCGCTTGCGCTTCTGCACTGAATCACCTCAATTACGGATTCACTTGGATGAGATTTGGGAAAACAGGAAAAAAAATAAGAAAAAAAATAAAAAAAAATACAACAAAACCAACCCGCCCTCCTCTTTTTCCTCCTCCCCCTCGGGCAGGGAGGGGGGGTCGGGGGCATAAATAGCTGCCAGCACAGCACGGGGGCCAGAAGCGCAGGGCAGGCGCCTTCCCCGCACGCTTGGCACCACCGCGAGCACCCCCGGCCATGGCCGAGCCTTCGCTGCCCCTCTCCTTCCTCTGCCTCCTCGCCCTCTCCTCCGCCTGCTACATCCAGAACTGCCCCCGGGGAGGCAAGAGGGCTTTGGCCGACGCGGCCCTGCGGCAGGTAGGGTGGGTTTGTGGGGTGGGGAGGGTGCCTGAAGGCTTGGGAAGTGGTGGGGTTGGGGGATTGGGGCTGAAATCGTGCTGGGAGCAGTTGTAGGGACACCAGGACGAGCCACCTTGGAGGTGGGGACCCCGACGAGGTGTTAGGGGGGGGTTTATGGACGTGGAGGGGTTCCGAGCAGGCCTGGAGCCCCTTCCCTTTGGTTTTTGGGGTCGGGTGTTTGAGCTGTGGGGTTCCCCGCAGTGCCTACCCTGCGGCCCAGGGAACAGAGGTCGTTGCTTCGGTCCCGGTGTCTGCTGTGGCGCGGAGCTGGGCTGCTACCTGGGCACGGCGGAGACGCGGCGCTGCGCCGAGGAGGATTTCCTGCCCTCACCCTGCCAGCCCACCGGCCAGCCCTGCGGCTCTGGCGGCCGCTGCGCCGCCAACGGCGTCTGCTGCAGCGCTGGTAATGGGGTGGGGGAACCCAAAAAGGGGGATACGGGGTCGGGGTGGGCACCCAGGTGGGATTTCGGGGGGTTTGGGTACGGAAAAATCCCCACCAGCCCCACTCCCTGTGTAATAAAAGCACCAAAAGCGGAGCTGGAGCCTCTCGGGCTCAAAACCCTACAGCTCCGCGGGTGCCCTGCTCTAAAACCCCACAGTTCCTGACTCTGTCCCCCTGTTTTTCCCTATCCAGACACCTGTGCCGTGGACGCCTCGTGCCTGGAGGAAGGCAGCGAGCGGGAGGAGGAGGAGGAGGCGGAGAAGAACCTGACGGTGCTGGACGGCTCGGCCGGGGACCTGCTGCTGCGCCTCATGCACCTGGCGGGCCGGCAGCAGGGCAAGCAGCAGCCCGGCCTCTGAGCCACACGCGTGCTCGCCCCCACTGTGTACATAAAAAACCCCAATAAATGTCCTCTTGCACTGTGCCGGCCTCGTGTGGGGTGCAGGGATGGGGATGGGATGGGAAGGGGACATCAGAAGCTTGGGGACGCGGTTGTGGGTTCGGGGGTGGCCAAGGGGGGCGGGTGCAGAGGCTGCAGACCCGACCCTAAATCCCCCTCGTCCCATTCCCGTTGGGATTTTCCACCTCAGAGGGTTAGCTCCTGGTTGTAGGGATTTTACTGGGCTGGCTGTGGGATTTGCCAAATTTTTCCCAGCCCTAAAAGGGAGAAGCCCACCCGGCAGAGGCAGCCTGTGGGGGTTCGCCACCCCAATTCCCACCCCAATTCCCCCGGCACACGCAGATCCAGGATGGGGCCGATCCCCATGGTGTCACCCTCACCTCACCTCTTCACCAAACCCCGCTGTGGGGGCAGTTTGGGGTTCTGGTGCCTTCGGGAAGCGGAGATTTGGGGTTCAGCTCCTGGTACAGCCAGCTCCGTCCTGGGGCTGACACCGCACAAACCCATCGCGCCCCTCGGATGGTGACACCGGCTCCGTCTCATCCCCTAAATGGGAGAAAAAGCAAGAAACCACCCCAAAACCACCACAGATCCACAAGCTTTGGGTTCCCCATTAACCATAATCCCCCAAAATCATCTCACCTTCTCACCGCAGCGACCCCATCGCTCACCCACCAGCCCCCTGCACATTTCCCCCATAAATTTGGGATGTTTGGTCACACGTCACCCCCAAAGTCTCTTACCCTTACGGGGTCTTCGCTCCGGGTAGGTTTTCGGGGTCCGTGGTCCCAAACGGAGCCGTGTCCCTCCTGCAGTCCCCCTGGGCTGGTATATGGCCGCGTGTGGGGCCGGCTGTCCTTTATAGGGTCCCCGAGGGAGGTGGAGCTCCTCCGGCCAGGGGGACGCAACCTGGCTGCCCACGTCAGCCCCACGCACCTCCGGGGGCCGTATGGGGTGACCCCAATGATCCCGTTACCCGCAGCCCCGCTAATCAGAGGCCACGGGGTCATGCTCCCTGATTAAGGAGGCGGCGGCAGGGCTCGGGGTCGCGCTCCCTGCAGACGTAAGAGCTGCCGGGGAATTAATTCAAGCTGGGAAGCTCTTAATTGCGGTAACGAAGGCGGGGAGCTTGGGGCTTGGGGGGGTGCTGGAGCCACGTGTGCGGCTCCAGGGTGGGAGTTATGGGGGATTTGGGGTTTTTGAAGTGTTTGACGATGAGGTTTCAGGGGGATTTGGGGTTTGCAGGTGTTTTCCTATAAGGTTTTGGGTAGCTGGGGTGGGTGTGGGGTCACCTGGAGGTGCTGTGCTCATGAGTGGCAGGCAGAGGGGGGCAGGAAGGACCGGACACCGCATTTCACACCCCAACACAGAGCCCCAAGCCCTATGGGGCTGTTTCCCCCCCCCAAACCAGACAGGATTTGTATAGGGCCAAGCACACAGCCTCCCTACAGCTCACCCTCCTCACCCCACAGCCCTCGGGACACCTTCCTCCAACCCCAATGGGACAGAAAGCAAGGAATCTGCAGCCCACCTGCTGAAGGGGCTGGAGGAGGAAAACCACAAGATTTCACCCCAAAACCAACCCCACAACCCCCTCAACCCCCCCTCCTGCAGCCAGAGCAGGCGCCGAGGCACAAATGAGCGCCACGGTGCTGCCCTCACGTCCTTGACCCGTGGCAACGAGGCGAGGCCCCGGGTGTGGACACCAATGCCTCGGGGCTTTTAGGGGAAATGGGTGACCACACCGGCAGCATGCTAAGCAGCAGCCGGCCCTATAAATACCTCAACCGGCCGCCACGAGGCCCCAGAAGCGTCCCGACCCCGCAGCCATGCCCTCCAAAGCGCTCGCCGTCTGCCTGCTGGGGCTCCTGGCAGCTCTCCTCGGCGTGTTACATCCAGAACTGCCCCATCGGGGGCAAGCGCGCCGCGCTGGACGTGGATGTCAGGAAGGTAGGGCCCTGCCGGCTGCTCTCCTCCTCCCCATCCTCTTGTGGGACCTTTTCCTGCTCCAAATTTTCCTAAATCCCTGAGGTGAAGTGTGGGAAACGGTTTAGGAATGGTTTTGGGGTCGGGTGGCTCCTGCAGGGAGGGCTGGCCCCATAGCAGCACAGGGAGAGGTGGGAAGGAGGAGTGGTTTTCACCCCCTGACTGCTGTTTGAGCTGGGGAAAAACGCTTCCAGTGGGGTAAATAGGGTGTGGGGTTTATAGGGTGGCTGCTTTAGGGGTGAAACCAGCACCTCAGCACCCCATTAACCGAGCGCCAAGGGGATTGTGCTGCTCCCGAGGCAAATCCCTCACGATATAGAGGTGAGGCTGAGCCCGGAGTGAATTTTAGGGGCGAGGAGAGGCTGGAAAAAAAAATTAATGGGATAGGGGGAGCGGGTGGCCCTTCTGCCACCACATTTCCACCCCGTGCAGTGCCTGCCCTGCGGCCCCAGGAACCAGGGGCGCTGCTTCGGGCCCAACATCTGCTGCGGGGAGGAGCTGGGCTGCTACCTGGGCACCCCGGAGACGCTGCGGTGCCGCGAGGAGAATTTCTTGCCCACGCCCTGCGAGGCCGGGAGGAAACCCTGCGGGGGAGACGGGGCCAACTGCGCCGCCCCCGGCATCTGCTGCAGCAGCGGTGAGCCCTCGGGGATCCCAAACCCCATGGGAATGGGGTAGAGGGGGGAGAGGGGATGGTTTAGAGCCTAAAAAGCAAGGCAGAGCGGGCTGTGAGACTCCTGTAGCGCCCGCTGCCTGTGTTTGGGGTTGGCAGCCCCGGATTTTTGGGGTGTGATGCTGTGGGAGCGCCAAAATGCGAAGCGGAGCTGCCCCACGGCCTCGCTGCTGTGACCCCATAAAAAAAAAAAGGGTGCTGCTTTGTGTTATGAAGCAAAAAAGGTGCTGCCTCGCTCACGCCAGGCTCTCTCTCTCCCTTTTTCTCTCCCCGGCAGAGGGCTGCGTGGCCGACCCAGCCTGCGAGCGAGAGGCGCTGTTCGCGTAGAGCCCCAGGGGGAGAGGATGAGGAGCCCGGCCCCAAAAAGCTTTTAATGAAAAATAAATTGCTGTGGAGAATAAAAATTGCGTGTGGGGGATTCTTGGGGGCTGGCTGCAGGCTTCAGATCCCTCCCGGGTGGAGGGAAAGGGCTGGTGGTAAGGTGGAAGCAAGGCTGGAAGGGGATTTCCTGCAGTAAGGGATTTGATGGCAGGGAGCAGGGTTTGGGATTTAGGGTCCGTCAGCCCCAAGGGAGAAGCTGTGGGATAAAACCCAGCGGGGAGGAGCCAGCTCTGCCCCTGAGGGGGTGCTGCAAGGCGGAGAAGGGAAGGAAATAGGATCAAGATGTCCCCCGAGCAGATTTCTTATTTAAAAGAGGGTTAGAGGCTGCCCGACAGCCCTCCCAGGAGGGCAGGACACGAGCAAGGAAGGATTTCACACAACAAAACACACCGAATCTGTGTTTTTGACAAAATATCGCAGACCAGGTTTACTGGAGGGGCCGAAACGCCGCGTGGGGCCGCTGGCACACGGCGTTTGTGCCACGCACGGGGCAGGCAGGTACCAGGGGGTGGCGGGGCAGCGAGTTCTGGGCACAACCCCACAACAGGAGGCGAAATCAAAACCAAGCGAGCGCAGGAAACCAGAGCAGGAGGACAAAGAGCGCCTCGAAACGACGCGGTTCCACCACACGGCCGAGCGTTTCCCTTTGCCTTTTTCCCCAGACCCCAGTTTGTCCAACGATTCCGTTCCCGACTGGGGCAGCGGGAGCGGGGAGAGGTTGAGGATCCCGTCCCGACGCCCCGTTAGGACAGCGGGGTGCGCCTGGCCACGCGGCCCTCCCTGTCGATGGCGAAGTTGTAGCTGCGGGGGTTGTCCAGGCACTCCTCGATGCGCGCCTCCAGGTTCTCGGGGGTGAGGAACGATTTGGCTTCCTCCTGGAAAGCCCCATCTTTGCGGTGACACAAATCCCCGGGAAATCAACCCATTTCCATCTCCCTCCCCCGTTGTCGCCACTGCTGTGGGTACCTGCAGGCGGAGCACGGCGCTCTCCTTGCGGCGCAGGGCGGCCTCCAGCTGCCTGGCTTTGTTCTCCGCCGCCTGCAGCTTCTGCCTCTGCTGCTCCTCCGCTTCCCTCCGCGCCCTTTCCTCTCTGCCCCGCGGAAAAGTGGAAAAAAAACAACAAAAAATACTTAAAGTGAGTCAAAAAACCCCAGGAAGCATTTCTGTAAGGATGTGGACGAGCCAAAATAAACGCAGTGGCTCCGGGGAAGGGAGCCCTCGTTGGCCCCGCTGGGGTTTTTAGGGGGTGAAGCCCCAAATCCCGTTGTTTCCCCCAAACCTGCGGGCTCGCTGCCGGGCGTTCTCGGCCTCGTTCCAGGCCATGAGCAGCCGGTGCTCCTCCCGCAGCGCCACCGAGTCCTCCTGCTGCTGCGCTCCTCACGCTGCCGCTGCAGCACCTCGGCCCTGAACATGCAGCTGCCGCAGGGTAGGGGGAAGCTCAGCACCCCACAACTGCCCCCAAACAGCCCCCTTGCATCGTCCCCCAACCCTTCCATTACCCCCAAACAGCCCCATACCCAAACCATTACCGCGCAGCAACCCCAAACTCGACCCCCTGCCCCACAGCAGCCCCTTAGACAAGCCCCTGCCCCACAAAAACTTCACTGTCCCACTCCCACTCCCCGCAAACCCAAAACCAGCCCCATACCCTGCAGCCACCCCACCAACCCCTCTATTAACCCAAAACAGCCCCGTCCCCAGCCACACACCCTGGAACAGCCCCAGAACCACCCCATACCCAAACCATTACCCCCCAGCAGCCCCATACTTAAACCCTTGCCCCACAGCAGCCCCAAACCCGCCCCCCTGCCCCACAGCAGCCCCCCTGCCCCACAGAAACTTCACTGTCCCACTCCTAACCCCCGCAGCCCCACACAAACCCTCCATTACCCCAAAACCCCAAACAACCCCATACCCAGGAGCAGCCCAGCCCCACAGATGAACCACTGCCCCACAGCAGCCCCACAAACAGCCCCCTGCCCCACAGCCCCCTTGCATCACCCCCCAACCCCTCCACTACCCCAAAACAGCCCCGTCCCCAGCCACACGCCCTGGAATAGTCCCAGAACCGCCCCATACCCAAACCATTACCCCCCAGCAGCCCCATACTTAACCACCTGCCCCACAGCAGCCCCATACTTAAACCCTTACCCCCAGCAGCCCCACAGCCAAACCCCTACCCCACAGAAACTTCACCATCCCACTCCCACCCCCCAACAGCCCCATACCCCACGGCCAGCCCCATACAAACACTCTATTACCCCAAAACAGCCCCATACCCAGCCATATGCCCTGGAACAGCCCCAGAGCCACCCCATAGTTAACCCTCTGCCCCCCAGCTGCCCCATACCCAAACCGTTACCCCACAGCAACCCCACAGCCGCCCCCCTGCCCCACAGAAACTTGACTGTCCCACTCCAACCCCCCAGCAGCCCCACATCCCACAGCCATCACCCACCCAATCCCTCCATTACCCCAAAACAGCTCCATACCCAGCCACACGCCCCAGAACATCCGCAGAGCCACCCCATAGTTAACCCTCTGCCCCCCAGCAGCCCCATGCTTAAGCCCTTGCCTCACAGCAGCCCCAAACACGAACCTCTGCCCCACAGCAGCTCCTTAGCCAAACCCCTACCCCACAGAAACTTCACCATCCCACTCCCACCCCCCCCAAGCAGCCCCACAACCCGCAACCAGCCCCATACAAACCCTCCATTACCCCAAAACAGCCCCATATCCAGCCACACGCCCTAGAACAGCCCCAGAACCGCCCCATACCCAAACCATTACCCCCCAGCAGCCCCATACTTAAACCCCTTGCCCCACAGCAGCCCCATACCCAAACCGTTACCCCCCAGCTGCCCCATACTTAAGCCCTTGCCCCACAGCAGCCCCACAGCCGCCCCATACCCATACCGTTACCCCACAACAACCCCATAACGGCCCCAAACCCCCTCACACTCCCTCTCCACCCCCTCCGCAGGTACCGGAGCGCCCCGAGCACGGCGCGGTGCTGCCGGTAGCGCTCTGTGACCACGGCGAGCTCGGCGGGGTCGACGGGCGGCGGCACCTTGACGCGGGCCGCCTTGGCCTTGGCGGGGGGGTCGTGCCGGGTCTTGCGGCCCCGGGCCGGCACCAAGCGCGGGCTCCAGGCGAGGCCGAGGCCGAAACCGGGCCCGGAGCCGGCCCCGGGGCCGAGCGCGGCCGCCGCCGCCGCCCCCGGCCGGCAGCGCCTCAGCGCCCGCAACATGGCGGCGGGAGGGAGGGGACGGATGTGACGTAGAGGGCGGGAAGCGGCAGCCAATGAGGAGGGAGGAAGGGGAAGGGGGTGGGGAGCGGGGTGTGATGGGAAATGTAGTTCGGGAGGGGCGGGGCTAGAGGCGGGGAGGGGGGGCGGGGGGGGGAGGGAGGGGGCGGCCCGGGGGGGGCGGCACGGCCCGGGGGGGGCTGGGACCTGTGGGGGGGAGAGATTAGGGGGTAATTTGGGGGTAATCCGCGGTAATCCGGGGTAATCCGGGGTAATCCGGCCCTAATCCGCGGTAATCCGGGGTTATATGTGGTAATTTGTGGTAATTTGGGGTTTTAATCCCGGGGAGGGGGGAATTTGGGGGTCAATCCCAGGGGAGGGGGGGTAAATCCGAGTGGGGAGGGGGCAATATGGGAATAATCCTTTAAAATGGGGGAATATTGGGGTAATCCCGGTGGGTAATCCCATGGGAAGGGGGGATAATCCCAGGCGGGGAGGGATTACCCAAATGGGAATAATCCCACGGGGGGATAATTTTTGGGGTCAAAACAACCTAAAAGGGGATAATCCGGGGGTTTTTCCCTACCTGCAGGCCCGGGGGGGCGCCGAGGTCCCTCTTGCCCCCCGGGTACCAGCCGTGGGACCAGTGCTGGCCCCGGGTGGCTCCCGCCAGCAGCAGCAGGGCCAGCAGCAGCAGTGGGGTGCGGGGAGCCATGGCCGGGGGCTGTGGGGGTGAGGAGGGGGCTGTGGGGTTGGGGTGGCCCCCCCACAGCACCTGGCCTCCTACCTGCTGCTGGAGGGGATGAGCACCCATGGGTGCTGCTCGGGGTGGGATTAGGATGGGGATCCCAGGGGGTGTGAGCACCCATGGGTGCTGCCGGGCTGGATTTGGGGTGCAGATGCCATGGGGTTTGAGCACCCATGGGTGCTGCTCGGGGTGGTTTTGGGGTGGGGATGATGGAGGGGATGAGCACCCATGGGTGCTACTTAGAGTGGGATTGGGATGAAGATGCTGGAGGGGAGATGCTGGGGGTGTGAGCACCCATGGGTGCTGCTCGGGGTGGGGTGGGTTTGGGGTGGGGATGCCGAACGGTGCGAGCACCCATGGGTGCTGCCGGGCTGAATTTGGGGTGCAGATGCCATGGGGTTTGAGCACCCATGGGTGCTGCTCAGGGTGGGTTTGGGGTGAGGATGCTGGAGGGGATGAGCACCTATGGGTGCTACTTAGAGTGGGATTAGGATGGAGATGCTGGAGGGGAGATACTGGGGGTGTGAGCACCCATGGGTGCTGCTAGGAGTGGATTTGGGATGGGAATGAGCACCCATGGGTGCTGCTCAGGCTGGGATTAAGATGGGGATCCCAGGGGGTGTGAGCACCCATGGGTGCTGCTGGTCTGAATTTGGGGTGGAGATCCCATGGGGTTTGAGCACCCATGGGTGCTTCCTAGGCTGGGTTTAGGATGGAGATGCTAAAGGGGACAGGCACCCATGGGTGCTGCTGGGCTGGGATTTGGGGTGCAGATGCCATGGGGTTTGAGCACCCATGGGTGCTGCTCGGAGTGGGTTTAGGGTGGGGATGAGCACCCATGGGTGCTGCTCAGGCTGGGATTAAGATGGGGATCCCAGAGGGTGTGAGCACCCATGGGTGCTGCTGAGCTGGAATTTGGGGTCGGGATGCTGGAGGGGATGAGCACCCATGGGTGCTGCTCGGGGTGGGTTTGGGGTGGCGATCCCAGGGGCTGTGAGCACCCATGGGTGCCTTTAGGGCAGATTCAGGTCCCCCCACCCCGGGGTGCCCCCATTCCCCCCCCAGGCTCTCACCTGCTCTCGGCGGGGCTCTGGGCTGTGTTCGGGGCTCGGCTCTTTTTGTAGGGCCGAGCTCAGCGGCGCTGACGTCGACCCCGTTCCCCGGGGACCTCGCAGCCAGCGCACGGGGCTGGAGGATGCTCTGGGCAGGCGGGGCGAGCAGCAAATCCCTCCTGCCTCAGTTTCCCTCCCCCTTTAACAGATTTTCCCTTTTCCTCACCCATTTGCCCTTTGCCTGCCCCAAATCCTGGGATTAAAGGGGATCCGGCCCCGGATTAGCTCCAGCAGCTCTCCAGCCCTTGTTATTTGCAGAGGAGCCCACGGCCCCAAAACGCCTCAACCCAGCTCCGAGCATCAAGGAAGGGAAAAAATCCTCATCCAGTGACTCCTCGGAGTGAGAAAAATATTAAAATTGACCCTATTCACCCGTTTTTTTAACAAAAAAGCGCTGCAGCACAGTGCCCTTAGGATTTTTTCTTTAGGGCTCTTCCCGTGCCCTGTCCCATCGCATTTAGGGTTTCCCTGGATTTATCACCTGGGAGGAAACAGCCGAATCCTGACCCTACGTGTGGCCATTTGGGGTGCTGGGGAGAAATAATTTGGGGGGACCCAAATCTCTGCCCGCAAAAAAAAAGGGGGTGAAGAGAAGGCAAAAACAACACGGCCCCGTCCCCTAGGAGCAGAAATTCCCAGTTTTTAGGCTGAGGGTTGGGTGGAGCTGGTGCCGGCTTCATTTTAGGGCTGGGGAAGGAAAAGGGATGCAGGAGGACAGCCGGGGTTTGGGGGAACACGAACACAGCCCCAGCAATCCCAATGCCAGTTTGTGGGGGGGACGCGGCTCCCCGTCGCCCCCACAAATTTGGGGGAGGGCTGGGGCCACCCTGGGTGAGCAGGGAGGGAGGCCCCGCAGCTGCAGGCACACCCCACACACCCGTTTCCTTCAGGGAGCAAAAAAATCCTATTTCTTTTCCCCTTTTTTCCCCCTTTTTTAGTGCAAACCCCTCCTTGCACCGCGAGATTCGTCTCCCGACCCCACTGACCCCAAAAGAGGCGACTTCTGCTGCTTCTTCCACACCCCCGAGGATATTTCCATACACACACACACAGAAAAAGCTTTTTTTGTTGTTTTTTTTTTTTCTCCTTTTTTTTTTTTTTTAAGAGCTGACCGGCAGAAAAATGTGAAACCATTTCCCTGCGAGGTTCGGAAAAAAAAAAAAGCTTGTGCTTGTGGGGGACGTTTCCAGAGATCCAGACTAGCTCGGCGGTTTGGTTTTGTTGCGTTTTGTGTTTTTTTTTTAAAAAAAACCTTTACTCCCTCAAGAAAAAAACAAAAAAAAAAAGAGATTTACAAACGAAATACCAGCCTGCAGCAGCTCTCCAGAAGAGAGGCGGTGTGACGACAGGAATCCAACCAGCACGCGATTTAATTCCCCAATAAAACATTGGAAAAAAGAAAAAAAAAAAAAAAAAAAGGAGCCGACAGTATCTGCACTAAACACGTTGCTACATATAAAATCTCCAGCTAAGATGAAGCTCGTGGTACCAACCTCTAAAACAGTTAAGATATATACACGTATTCTGGGGGGGTATATTAACAAACAGAATATTACAAAATATTAAAGAAGGCAACTCTTCTGTCATTTTTTTTTTGTCTTTTTTTTAGTTTTTTTGTCTTTTTTTTTGTTGTTTTTTTCACTTGAAGTTGGCGTAGTCTGAGAAGGCGTCGATGTATTCCTGCACCACCTTGTAGCAGAATTCGTACTGTTCCTGTGGGGAGCAGAAAAGCAGAAAAGAGAGGGTTAGGCAAGAAAAAATCCACCTTTGAGGAATAGCGAGGTGATTTGGGGTCCGCGCCCTGCTGTCACCGTTAGCAGCTGCCCCCATAAGAAGTATTTTATGGCTCTTGTGAGGCTGTGAAAGGGGAGAAATCCACGGGGGATGTCTCTGGATGGAACAGCAGGAGCTGCTTTCCTCCTCCCTTCTCTGAAGTCCAATTTTGAGCCCAAACAGACCTAAAAAAATCCCCGAGCATCCTCACAGCCCCTCTTGTTGAACCTCCTCCAGCCCTGTCCGCTCTTCTCCCTGCCACGCGTTCTGCCCAGGTCACCCCAAGATGAGTTTCCAGGCTGTTTTTTCATAATTACACGGGGTAAGGGGTGAGGATGTCCCCAAAAAGGCTCCTCCAGCTCAAAAAGGGGGCGATCCACTCAGCCAGCCCAGCTCCGCTCCCCCCATGTCCCAGCAGGAGGACGGGGAGGGAACCTCTTCCCCTACCTCCACCCCAAAGCTTTCACGACGGGGGAAAAACCTTCAGCTGGGGAAGTTTTTCTCCAAAATCTCAGGGAATTGAGCCCCCAAAATGTCCTCAGCGAGGCCCTGGGAGCGTGCTCGGCCGCCCTTACCAGTGTCTGCACCATATGCGGCCTCTGTAGTCGTAAGCTCTTCACCGTCTGAAAGACGTCGAGGATCCCTTCTGCCTTCACCCTTTCCAGCACAGTGCTCAGAGCGCAGAAAGTTCCCGTTCTCCCCGCTCCGGCACTGCCACAGAGAAACCCAGAGGTGAAGGAATCCACTCACCATACCCCATCATGTTTTTTCCTCATCTCCACGCACAACCCCAAGCCGCACGGTCTGAAAAACGCCGGCGGTTTGGAGGAGAAGGCGAAGCCAGCCCCGAATTTCGGGGGTTTTACCTGCAGTGCACGGTGATGGGGTGGTTGCCCGACTGCTGCTGCTGCTTCTGCACGGCCGCGATGATGTTGATCATCCCCTTCCCGTCGCTGGGGATCCCAACCTCGGGCCAGCCGTGGAAGTGAAACTGCCGGATCTGCCGGCTCTTGTTTTCCTGGGGGGGGAGAGCACAGCTGGAGCTCAGCACGGCAGGAAGAGGAGGAGGAAAAGCTGAGGTTCCCCCAAAAAAAGGGCTAAGGGTGGGCTCTTACCCTGGTGTTGGTCACCAGCAGGTCCCGCACCGTGTAGCTCTCGCACTCCTCCTCTTTTTTCAGCTCCACGGTGATGTCCCCGTAGGACACGGAGCCGTCGGAGGGCCAGTACTGGGCGCACTTCTCCTGGGAAAGCATTGCAGGAGGGGTCAGGGGGGGCTCTGGTGCCTTTTAGGGCTTGCCTGGATGCAGCCAGGCCGTGCTTTTACCTGGCCTCTCTCCTCCAGCTCCGTCAGCATCACGATGGAGCAGGATTTCCACTCCCAGATCATCCTCCAGAAGTCC